ATCATATAGGAACAACGTCCACCACTTGCTCCAACTCCAACTAGAGCCAGCATCCCTTAACCTTCCTTACCAACGCCCCACCAACCCACAATCAAGCCTTCACACCTGATCCAGCTGTCAACTACCTTAAACCCTCACCTCCTTGCAACCAATTGAACTTCAATGAAATATCCGGAGACGATCTTGTAGGTTTTGGCACACTTGTATCTGATCATTTCTTTGCCCCTCAAGACCGCATACCTACTGGATCCATGGATGCCACATTAGGTGAAATCTTCTACAGCTTTAAACGGTCTGTTTGAAACCAAAGACCTCCAAAAATCTGAATTGGCTGCATCACAAGAGCGCAATCCAAAGCAACTCCCTGAGAGGCAAGTAGCAAATTTGACATACAATAACACAACAAGAAATGTTTCTGCTGCGTCAAGAAAGGACATTGAAACGATTGTTGCACAAGGAGTTACTCAACAGAATTTGTTGGTTATAACAGCAAATGCATCCAAAACAAAGAGCCAAAAGAAGAAAATCACTAAGGGCCAACAAAAGAAAAAACAGGAAACAGCTATGTCAGAGAATGCAGATGACCCAAAGGAATCAAAAGACCACGCAGAAGATTGTTCCTATTTGATTAATGTTTGGCTTGAATTGATGATTCAATCACAAAAGTGAATTCAACAATTTTCCTTTGGAAAATCCCTTGTTTACAGAACTCGAATTGACTTCTACAAGGCTTCTGTGTTGAATGCAGTACTTTGGGACATCTTTTATTATTCCCTACTGCATCGCACACAACATCTTGTATAGGGTCATTCCCTTTTTGTGTGGATACAGATTGTCCGACAGACTTAGGTCCGGCATACTTGGGTCAAATCCCGACATCACGATCAAAGTTCGATCGTACGTGTCCAAAAACATTGTACTTGAATAGTTTCTTTTTGGAACGTAAAAACTCATATTTTGTCATATCCCAACAATGAAGGACTGAAATGGGAAAAATGTGATAGGATGAACAATGATTTTGGTGATTTGCCAATATCATGGCAAAGTAAGTGGTGGGTCATGGGGACGAACAGGATGAGTCACTGGGCAAATTGTAGAAATAGCATTGTTGCACAATAAATGTCGATGGTCACAATCTGAGTGGGGGTATGGTGGGACATACAATGATGGGGTCAGGGTAATTGGGGGGACCAACCAAAGTCTGTCCAAAAATACCATGAACTCCCCCTTTCAGATGCATCAAATCCCCTTTGACGTTGACACTGAACCACTTTCCGTCCGCAACATGTCATACGTTACATCCTACTTCAACATTAACAACAAAATCCTCTGTCAAGGTCAAGATTGAGCCACTTTCTGTGTGGAACATGTCATACCTTAAAAATCCTCCATCAAGGTCAACACCAAAATCTCTGTCAAGGGTGACATTGAGCCACTTTCCATTTGCAACATGTTGTACGTTAAATCCTCTGTCAAGGTTAACATCAAATCCTCTATTGAGGTTGAACACTGAACCACTTTCCGTGTGCAACATGTTGTATGTTACTTCCTCTGTTGAGCTTAACATAAAAATCCTCCCTCTGCTGAGGTCAACATACCGCCTGCTGCAAGCAATATGTTGCTTGAGGCCAACTGCTTTGCTTTCCTCCCTAAGCTGTTTGCACTTATACATATTTTGAAAGTCTATGCAGCTACTTTTCTCTGCTATTGGCCCTTTCCCTTAAGAACTTTATCTTTCCTCTCCAGATGGAATCCTGTTGCATCCTTGAATATGTTTTTCATGTCTTCTTGTCTCTATATATTTACAGAACTATCACTACCCACCAACCCTTGAGTGCCTTTGAAGGGCAAAAACAAATCTTTCCCAAAAATCAAAAACTTTTTCTTCCCATTATTTAGCACTCACAATTTCCTCCTTGACCTCCTGACACAACATTATGACAGAATTCCCTACACCGTGGTACATTCTATATCAACCTCCACACACTTACAACAACACTTCCCAATTGTGCCAATGGCAAGACAGAATGATGATGACACAGAACTAGGTAAAAGTGACCAAGCGGCATCACTTCAGATGTGGCCATCCCATGTGTCGTTGATCTGCTTCTTTGCAGCTGGTTGTTGACTTGTCTTGTAACAAGCTGTTGCACCACCAACTTTCCATCCAAGACCCTTGTCTGGATCCATGACGGTTCAGTATGAATGAAACTTTCAGCTAGCCCAAATCCAATTGGAGGCAAGCAACTGACCCACAGTCATTTTATGCGTCAGCCTCACCTTGGCAATGCGGCCTTCAGAACTTGTGAACAAAGCTTGATGGTACAAGCCCAAGTTCAAGTGAAAACAAGTAGTTTGTTTGGGATGAACAAGCTGAGAGCCTTGACCAATTCCAATACAACGCCACAGTTTCTGCTTGGCTTCCACCACTCTATGCCGCTCAACCCTCCTGATTAAAACCTGAGACAAAGCCAAACTCCATTGAGAGCCAGCCAGCAACCCTTGACCGGTTTCAACATATGTCAGTATCATCCATTACATGGGTATGCTGACTAGTCGGATCTAGTTGCAGTCAAGAAATGGGTTCAAGCTACAATTATGCCTTGCCCTAACAATTGGATTTGATCTAAAATGGATGCTACTACAAGAGAATCAGATTTGATCTGGAATGAATGCTACTACAAAGGAATCAATGACATGGGTTGAGTTGGAGAATCTCAATTCACATCGCCTTTCAAAAGGATTCTGCTTGGTTCTTCTTAATCGTCTAGTATCTTGTTCCAGGTGTCATGAATGATCATTATTGATGAATCATGCAACAATCCAGTGCCTTGCCATTGCCTGCTTGTCAATGGCTTTTGGATCTTGTGAGTTTCAATGATATTTAAGAGGAGAAAAATGATAAGATAAGAAGTTGAAACCAGACCATCAGAGACCCTTAGCCTCTAGTGGGTCAATGGGTCGGATTCACCCTTCTTGGCAGAGAAAACTCTGTAGAAATGAATCAAAACAAAAAACATCATGCTTTATGACCTTTAGCAAGTATGGAGCAATATTACTTCAGACTGTGGCCCGATGAGGAACCAGTCGGTCAGAAGAGCTTCCTCAGGCCCTACCTTTGAAGGCAATTGCTCCAGTTGCATGTAGTGTCCATTGTAATGAGAAAGCTGTGAATATTCCCCTCCAGATTGCACAGCTATCAAGTATGTAAGGCATACCAAGCATACCAAGCATACCAAGCATACCAAGCATACCAAGCATATCAAGCATACCAAGCATACCAAGCATACCAATCCGTCATCGCATGTGCCTTCACGTGGCCTCTATTGTGTCTTCTTCTTGTTCCAGGTGAATTCGTGACAGCTGTAACCTCGTACCACGTTTGGATGGTCTGGCCATGGCTTATGGCCACAAGGAAAGCCATACTTTTCCAATTCTGGAATACATCCTGTGATTTCGTGGCGCTTGGAACAACCAAATACCGATGACCACACCATCTCAAATCCAGCTTCTTCCAAAAGTGCAAAATGAAGAGCAAAGTAGTAGAGTTCTTCTCTTGTGTTCAACCATGTTTTGGTGACATGCGATTCAATCGAGAATTGGTCCACCACATGCAAAAAGTAGGGATCCTCACGAAGAATGTCCCGGGCAAAAGCAAACTCGCATCCTTCGCAATCCAACTTGACAATGGAGACGTGATCGAGACCCAAAAAATATCTCAGCTTGGGCATACTCGTGCTCCACCAGTCGACTGCTCCACCCTTGTTGATCAATCGCTCTTCATTGTCGCTCAACATGGATGCTGCCACACTGTGAAAGGTAACCTTTGGATGCAGCTTGGACGGATGTTCGACTGTGGGATCTGCCGAAAAGCCACGGCAATCCCATTCTTCGGCCAAAGCGATGTCGAAACTAGGATCATCGTTGATCCCAAACGAAAAGAAGGTACAGTTCGCAGGTTTTGGTTCGCACAGAGAATGTCCATTTTTGAAGGTTTTGACTTGGCAGTTGCCAAAGTTGTTTTCACCTTGCAACTTTCCGTTGGAAGGCTTGATGAGTTTTCCGTATTTTGTAAGATATGTTCCAACTTCATCCATCGCGGCATCCTGTTGCTCTGCGGTCATTTCGGTCCATAGTTTCCATTTGGGGTGCAACGAGTACGGTAAAGGCTCGAGTTGCAACATGTGGGATTTCTTTGGTTTTCCACTGTCGCGAGTTATTGTTGCAGTTTTTGATTCAGTGACCTTGTTGTTATTGGTGTTGGCAATCGTAGAAGTGGTGACGTGATCTGCCAACTGTCTCTGCGATCCATCCGAGCTTAGGATACTGGCGGTATCCAAAGTAATGACATCGGAAAGACTCGACTTGGATTGCGTGCCAGCAAAAAAGAAGACGAGAGATACCACAAGTATGGCAAATCGGGGAATGCTTGTAGAAGTTCTGCTGTCTCCACGGTTCAGGCTTCGTTTTGAAGTTTTAACCACCATTATTGTTTGCTGGTCTGTATAATATAAAAGTCTTGTGCGAAACTGTGCCTATGGTTTTGATGATGATGGGGAAAGATTTGGTGAATAAAGCTATAGGCATAAAATATAATATGGTGATGAGGAGATTGATTCGATGTCGGTGATTTATTTCCTGCATAATATTCATCATTCAACGGTAATTCACTGAATTCTGAGCCGTTGTGGGAGCGCTTGCGTTTTTTGTGACATGTCGTTCAATGTGTATTACATTTATTGGATTCGTCGGACTAACAAATAAAATAGTACTCATTCAGTCGCGATCGTCATCGTTTTTTTTTCAATTTCCATATTCATAAAACTTATTGCATGATGCGTTCATATTGCAATGAAACAGGGTGAAAGCAGGCGTAACAGCGAAGACAATGACAGCAGTGCGCATACGAAGCGAACTAAACTCCAATCTTTTCTTTTAAGGCATCCCCCAAAGTCTAGACGAGGCTTTTTGCCAATCGTGTTCTTGGTGACCCTTATCGCAATCAGTAAGGAGACATCTTCAATTCGAAACTTTCAAGGGAACCAATCAAGTGCGCGAAGACAAATCTTGAATGAAGTGAAACATACTCCAGAGATCGACGATTCATCATCAACAGGACCAAAAGGAATTATAAACTATCTCATTTATGTTGTGACATTACAGGGCGTCAAAGGAGCTGATGACAGCAACATTGGTCGGTACGATAATTTCAAACGTCACTGGAATATTCTTTGTCATCAGGATGACCAGCTACAAGAACAGTTTCACTTTCACACCTGCCGTGGACATTTGAGTCCCAAAGGAACTCCAAAGGGATACGGGCTGTCCGTTGCCTATTTGGATTGCTTCCGTTGGGCAATTCAAAATCATAACAAATGGCACAGGGAAAACAATCCCAACGCAACTGGCAATAATGGGCTAGATGACGACAGTATACCATTTGTATTCCTGGAAGATGATTCCAGACTTTACAACTCCAACTTTTGTCACTCCAGCTATCGGAATCGGATTTGGCAAAGCTTGCCGCAGACAAATGCCACCTTGCTGATGCTGGGAGGACACGGTATGGCCTTTCAAAACAGCAGTCACCCGATTGCACGAGTCTATCAAGATCACTACTATGATGAGACTTTGCTCATGGACCCATCAGTTCTGCCTCAATTCATAAGAGTTCAACGAGGGTTTGGGAGCTATGGATTTGCCTTGTTGAACACTCCCAGCGTCGAGTACATGGCTCGTAAGATGAACAATATGCTAAATCGAACTTTTGACGCTAAAGGGATGAAAGGTTTCAAGGCGATTGACCAACAGTTTCACCACTACGGTGTGCTTCGAACTCTCATGACGTACCCCTGGATAGTATACCACGAAGGAGGCCTGTATTCCAATACCAAGGGTGCCGTTCGAGGGGAATTTGGGGATGGATCCAAGCAATATCGATGGATCAGTGGATTGACGGGTTCGTTCAAGAACTGCAGCAGCGATGATAACGTGAGCAGCAAAGATCATATTGGCCTGTCCAATAGCAATCGAGATGACGGGCCATATCAGGAGGGAACAGTGCAAGTCGCATGTCGTGGAGTCACCTTTCGGATTCCCCGATCCTTCTCATCGTCACAAGGCAATAGCACTTCTACAGGCGATGTGATTCTGACGGCAGTCATCTCCGCAAGCAATCACGCGGATCGGAGGGCGGTAAGTCATCGATTACACTTCTCGGTTGGCACAATGTGCGGAACTAATCACTTTTATTGCCTTCGCTTATTGTAGTCCATTCGATCTACGTGGGCGAAAGGTTCCACTGACGTATTCTTTGTCGTTGCTGGACCATGGGAGGAGATTGCTTCCGAGTTTCAGGAGCATCACGATTTGGTATGGATCGACAATGGCGGTAATGGCGACAATGTGAATGCTACAAACATGTTGTCCAGCTTGCAAGTGGCAACCTTTTTAACCATTGCAGATGTGCAATACGGCAATCACTATTCGCATATTCTCAAAGTGACTGATCACTCATATGCCAAACTCTCGGCAATTCGTTCCAATCTTTTTGACAATGGCCGACAGAAAATCGCCATGTACGGAACACACTGTGGCACTGGTGTCCGACCCAGTCACGTTGGTGTGTCTGAGACAGAATATTCGGATTTTTTCTTTCCACAGTATTGCAAGGGTGATGGCTATGCTCTGTCCAGATTGTTTCTGCTATGTGCTATATCGCATATCCCCCAAAGTAGACTGGTATCTCTGGATGATGCATACATTGGTATTCTCGGAGAACGTTGCGGACTTGAAGCGAATCAGTTCCATAGTGGCGCTGATGTGGAGGAGGGGAAGATGCCATTGCTTCAACATGATCTTAAGACGACTACGGCGATGGAAGAATATCATGGCAAACAGCTGAATGCGACTTTATATTTAAATCATCGGTGACTCCTCGCATCGAGATACCGAACACCACATGGCCGAGGCTACTGAAGGGCAGCGAAGTTGTCGCAGTCAAGAATGCTCCTGCTGCGCCAAATGTCTCGCATGAAACAAAGGTGGAAACCACAACCAAATCACTCAGTATGGTCTTGCTAGTATGCAGAGCATTCTTTGGTTTCGTGACTTGAACTGGAATGTATACATTATATTGGCTTATGCACATGCATCGCAATATTCGCAATACGAAACAAACTCATTACGAGTATTTCTCACTTGTTCTGAAAACATGAATAGTTTCTTTCACTCCGCATCGTGTAATTTAGTGTGGATCCTCTAGAGAACCGTTTCGGTTCTATAGATATAGTGCCTGCCTTTACAATATGGTGACGTTTTCGCCTCCGACTAATGTGACTACCGCATGTTAGTGATTATGTCAATATCACTCGTATTTATGACATCGACTGTAGTGCTATCAATGACTTGCACTCCAAGAAGCCACTCCAGAAAATTGTGCCTGTCTCCAATTCAAAAGGTCCCAGCAAGAGGGGGGGATAACGGGAAGAAGGCACTCTGATGCTTTTGCGGCGTCTTATTGATATTTAATTCTGCTGGTGGAACTTCATCATTATTGTCAGCTATATTTGTTACTCGGCATCACACCTGAATCAAATTCTAATCGACAATATGGTCAAACCTTCAGTGCCATCCAAAAACATTCGCCGTTACTCGAAGATTCGAACTGCTGTTTTCCTTTGCATCTTGGCTCTTTTCATTTATGGTCTCGACAACCATGTATCAGGCGTGAACCAATTTCAGCTATTGATCGATGACACATCAGAACAGAGAACGACTGCCGGGCACGGGGATATTGCCCCATCGGAACAAGATCGTCAAGCTCGTGAGATACTCAATAGCAGGGTAGAATCGAAAAGTGAGGAAGAGGTGGATGTTCGTCAGGATAGAGCAGACTCGTCTAGAGATGAAGAAATCATTGCTCCAACTCCACCTGAATCGAAGGCGGAGAGAACTGAGTCTGCTGGCGCGGCTACAACCCCTCCTCCGTCAGTCAAAGAATCACCGAGCCCGCTACCATCGAAGTCAGCGGTATCAGGCTATCTTATGTATGTCTTGACGCTGCAAGGTGTCGAGGGCGCAGACGACAGCAATGCTCAGAGATTTGACAACTTCAAACGACACTGGAGCATCCTATGCAACAACACTCAACAGGCAATTGAAGAGCACCAACAGGTCGTCGCAGAAGAGATTCACTTTCATAAATGTCCAGGCTACTTGAATCCTATGGGTGCGAAATTTGGATATGGCTTGACAATGGCATACAAAGAATGTTTCGATTGGGCGTTGGAGCATCATAAAAAATGGCACACTGAACACAACACCATCAGCAATAAGAATAGGGATATTCCATACATATTCTTGGAAGATGATGCAAGACTCTATAATTCCAATTTTTGCCATTCGGAATATCGGAATCGACTTTGGGATGCGGCTCCATCGGATATGACAGTGTTGATGTTGGGCGGCCATAACTTGTTTCTGCAAGACCAACCAGGAGCTGAAGTGGAAAGGACAGATGGCGTTGGACAAACGGGCAACGACGGTATCATTCCGACCTTTCGGAGACCAAATCAAAGCGCTGGAAGTTATGGATTTGTTGTTCCCAACGCTGAAAGGGTCGCGTACATGAGACGAAAGGTCATCAAAATGCTTAATCGGACCTTCACTCCAGAAGGCATGGTTGACTTCTTTGGGATTGACAAACAATTCTACCAATACCCCATGCTGAAGGTATACGTTACCCAACCGTGGCTAGTGTATCACGAGGGAGGCTTGTGGTCCAACAACAAGGATCGTGTGCGAGGCGAATATGGGCAAGGATCTGGCCAGTATCGGTGGGTACCTGGCTTGACTGGGTCATTTCGGAATTGCTCCATGGACGGAAATGAAGCTAATAAGTTGCACAATGGTCCAGCATTATCGGCAACGCCTGAAAGGGGCCATTGGTACGCTGAAGGAAGCGTAGTAGTTTCTTGTCAGCCCCTGACGATACGGATACCACATCAATCTTTGGTCATGCTTCAAACTAGCACAACACCGGATAGGCTCATTGCAGGAGTAGTATCGCATAGTACTCGCTCAAGTTGGCGCTCTGTCATTCGATCGACTTGGGGGAAGCCGGATGGTTTTGTATCCAACGAGAAGAAGGGAACAACGACGAACCATACACAAGTCAAGGTATATTTCCTGGTCACAGGACCCTGGGAAGAAGTTGCTTCAGAATTTCGAGAGCATCAAGATTTGGTGTGGATTGACCAAGGTACGATTGCCACCACCATGGAATCATCATTGGCAAGTCTACAAGTGGCTTCCTTCATAAAGTTGGTTGACGACTACGCCTCCGATCTTTATTCGTACCTCCTTCGGGTACCCGATGATGCCTATGCCAATCTTCCTGGCATTCAAGCTCAACTTGTTGAGCATCAGGATAACCACACTGGTATGTGGGGTACCAATTGTCGGACAGGATTCCGCCCTTTTCACATTGGCATTCCTGAAACGCAGTATTCCGATTACTTTTTTCCAGAATACTGCAAAGGGAAGGCATATGCCTTATCCCAGCCTTTCGTCCGCTGTGCGGCTGCTCATATTGCCGATACTAGAATCGTCTCCTTGGATGATACATATATTGGTTTGTTGGGAGAACGTTGCGGGTTGCAGGAATCTCAATTTCTGAGTAGCAGCGGTCGTGTAAAGGGAGATGAGCGGCTGCTGAAATTAAACTTTACGCAAGAAGGTGCTATGCGCCGACGGCATGCACAGCAGCAATTGTTTTGGTCATGATGGACTTGTCAAGGTACGCGCTTCATGGCCAAACATTCGGATGTCTCACGATCAACAGCAGTTTGGCATCTTTGGCAGCAAAACTGCTGTACGGTAGTCCATGAGCTTTCTTGGTATGAGATAATACTTTGTTCAATGCAAATATGCCAAAGGGTTTTCAGGGATCCTCCCACAGCATGAGGAGAAGAATTACTTTGTTTCATTCATGTAGTTACTATTCAGCCATCTGGTGTAGATTGTGTTTTGTCAGATAGCTCATTGCCTCAATATACGATAACCGTATTCAGATGTAGAATATGCGCAATAGTAAAATAGTAAAAGCTTATGGGGTCTCTTGTCCTACTCAGTCATAAAAGTGAGAGGAGTGTCTATCATCATATATCTCTCTTCCTTAGTGCCTGCCTGTCCATCGTCAGGTTCGATTTCAACGTCACATGCTGATGATGAGACGCCTCTCGCAATGATTTTCAAATCCCGCAAAATGTTTCATCATTTATTTTGATAGAGACACTGCTCATCACATTGGTGTGCATTCCTGGTATTTTTGTCTATTGACGGACTCATCCTAAAACGAGGGTACTGTATGAAGAAGGCCCGCAGTATCTCCACCTAATACACCTATATAGTATACCTATACTCCATCGTGAATCCTGATTGTCCATGAATCATCCTTGGAATCGTGCCCTGTGGCTGGGTTTATCCGCAGTGTCAGCCGCTGCAATTGCCTACAAGTTATATAATAATCACCGTTTCGCAAGCAGTAGTAATAAGGGCGGTTCGTCATCTGCTACTACTGATGATGCATCGGATGAAGAAAAGGTGAATGGACTCGTCATGCAACGATTTCAGGCGTGCAGCGAGTACATGAAGAATCGCATCACCAAGTTGCCCCAAGCGACGCAACTCGAACTCTATGCCTGGTACAAACAGAGCACCGAGGGATCCCTGGATCCAAACAAGACCAAGGCACCCCGAAGCTACGATTTGGTAAAAACAGCCAAATACGACGCTTGGAAGAAACTCCAAGGCATGTCCAAGTCGTCTGCGATGCAATTGTACATTGACAAGGCCATGTTGGTGGAATTCACAGCAAGCATGCAAGATGACGGATATGATGATGCCGATGCCGATGCTGATGAAATGGAAGATGCCGTCATGGACATTGGTGGGATGGGTATGAAACCGAGTACTTTGAACTATGATGATGATGATGATGATGATGATGAGAACGACAATAAGAATGGAGGCAATGCTGCTGCCAGGGAGCACCCCTTGCACGAAGCAGCCATGTCGGGTAACTTGGAAGCACTCAAGGAACTATTACGGTCTAGTAACAGCAGTGATGGTGAAAACTCAGTGGATCCCAATGGACAAGACAGCAGCGGTCAAACGGCCTTGCATTTGTGTGCCGACCGCGGAAACTTGGATTGCCTCGATCTGTTGATAGAAGCTGGGGCTGAAATCGACATTGGGGATCAAGATGGTATCACACCGTTGCAAACTGCTGTTATTTCTGGTCACGCCAAGATTTGCGAACGTCTCTTGGAGGCTGGTGCCGATCCTGACAAGCCCGACAACGATGGGGACACTCCTCGTGCAAGCGCTGAAGATGACAAGGGGATTCTAGCACTACTGGAAAAGTATCCAAAGAAATAGAAATTCGTTTATTCTCCAACTGTTGATGTTATTGATTTTCCTTTTGTTGAAGTACGAACCTACACCTACCGTAGCACTGTTGTTTGCCCGTACCGCATCATGCCTGCATCGCATACTACAGTATGATATATTGAATATATATTCAGATCGATCGTATTAATATCGTGAATCGTTAGTCAGTCACGAACAGACGTCATTGGTCCGCAGATAAAATACAGTACAAATATAGTAGTATATAGTAGAAAGTCTCCACATCGCATCGCATCGCATCATCGATATCATCCCATCCGAATCTTCGCATCTTCATCTATCATCTTCGCATCCAAAGCACACATGAGACGGCGTATTTGCAGCCAAACATTACCTTAGAATTCCTTCCATATCCATGAATCTGATTGAATGTACAAGAGAGAATAGCCATAGCCAAGCACTCGATATAATAATACACGGACATACAGTATTAATAAATATAATACAAAAGCACGAAAGCACAAAAGCACAAAAGCACAAATAAGAAAAAGATGCTGAGAATGCCGCAGCATTACAATCGAAGCCTGATGATGATGAATAACCCACACCATAAAACGAGACGGAAACTTATTCCCATGCAGTATTGGATTCCAGGAAGCATACTGTGCATCGCAGTGCTGCTGATTCTGCTGATGACTCCGCCTTCGTTATCCTCCTTTTCCTCGGATTGTCTCCTGCCACCATTGTCCGATTCGGAAACAAGAACAACAACAAGAACAACAACAAGAACAAGAATAACCAATAACAATAAGCTGAACAGCATCATGGTGCCTGAATACAAATACCCACTACCGCAAATATTGGGAATCATGATTGCAGGCAAGGCTGATGTCTTTTCCATACGCGATTGGCTGTTTCGGCATCATCGGTTATTTGACAAATTGGTCATTGTGGATGGATCCAAGAGTGATTACATTGCCAATCTTGCCAAATCTCATTATCATCAGAACGTGGTAGTGCTGAAAGAAGAAACTCTGCAACTTACCACCATTTCGGATCAAACGTTAAGAGGACCAGCCATGACAGTATTGGGTAATCCAGTCGGATCATGGATTATGATATGTCATGCGGATGAATTCTGGACGATCGATCCGAGACGATTGGTGATGGAGAATGACAAGGAAGAAGACCAAAATGGGTGGACGAATGAAACTCAGAAACATAATGTTTTGAGGTTCCCAGTCCTAACGGCGAGTCCATACGAAAGTCGATATCAAATGGAGGTCGAAAAGATCAAAGCTGATCCCAAGTATTGGCAAGAAGGGGATTTTCACATCCTGCATGCCTCCAATATGACGCACGGGTACAAGTCGTCATCCAACTTGGTGCGCGACTATTTTGAAAATCGCATCTTCCGATGGCAAGATGGCATGGCTTGGGGAACGAGGAATGGTTTAGTGGTGCCCGAACACATTCCTTTGGGTCAAAAGATACGATACTACCGAGATGCCTTTTTTGTTCATTTCAAATTGCACGATTTTTCGGCCGATGGCTCATTCAAGGGCAAATCAGGAGGATTCAAGAATTCCAACCTGAGAACGGGAACTCGAGACGAACGAGCGGAAGGATGGATGGGAAGCTTTTTGGACGTATCGTACCCAGAACAAGTAGCCCAATTCCCTCCCCGTAACATGGAATCAGCTCTTTTGGAGAGATGTGTGGAGTTTGCAAATAGGCGATGGCCATGCGAATTGGGGTGGAATGTGAATGCTACGTTTACATGACGGATCAAAATGAGCACCATACTGTAGTGGTAACTATATCAAAATAATAATAATAATGATAATAATAATAATAATAACAATGTTTGGTGTTAGATAGTTAGAAATTAGAATGAATGCATGGAACTACTACTACAAGTATCAACCTTTGAGGATGAAACTGGGTATTTTGGGGTACTGGTATAGTTTCGATAATTTGTTTGGCAATTTCATTCATTCATTCATTCATTCGTTCAACGGTTCGAAATTCATTCTTGAGAAAAATGCTGTGAAGGGATTCGAGTCGCTGCGACACTTCTGCGGTGTTTTCATTGGCTCAACGTTTGTCTGTCGATGGAATTTTGTGGGCTCCGCAATAATAAAAACGCAGAATATATCGACTTTGAGCAACCTCTCTGCAACATTCATTATAGAATATAAAGCACCGCTGACTGCGCGAGCCTATCTGACTCAAAGATAGATCTATCCTTTGCTGGGAACCTTAGACGACTTTGATTCATCGTTCGTAGAAGCCAGTGAAAGACAAGACAAGAAACGAAACGCAACGAAACGAAAGTCTGAGACGATACGCACTAATTGATTCATTGATTCATTCAATCGTTCAATCGTTCAATCATTCATTCAGGTCAAACTCTGATATTCGATTGATTCGTGTAATTCTATACGCACGAATCACACATCAAAAGAGGATTGCATACACACGCTCACGTCTACTGCACTAAACTTGCCATCATACAGATTTGTGCCGAGAAGGAGTATACGTGAATCACGTGAATTACAGTATAATACAGTATACGTTTCCACGAAGAATTCTCCTGAAGTCATCATCGGCATTGGCATCATCGGCATCGGCATCGTAGGCTTCAAAACGAGTTGTTTCAAAAAACCAACTCAGTTCATTCATTGCAAGCATATTGTGCATCATGATGAAGCGACAACGACAAGCATCTTTGAGAATGACTGAAAGCAGGGGAATAAGCATGAGGACGACCTTATTATTGGCAATAATAGCCCTGTGCTGCTGGTCTTCCGAATGGTTTAGCGTCCAAGCCACCCCGTTGCAGCAGCAGCAGCAGCGACAGCGTCATCAAGAACGAAGACATCTCCAAGATGCGACTGTCCAAGGGTTGCAGTCACATTTTGGAGCCAACTCGTTTGCAGGTGGAATGGTAATCCCATCCACAAATCCCAATGTCGCTTATATTACAGGTCAAGTCGGTGCTTACAATTGCTTCATCGGAGCCGTGTCCTTGATCAACAGTGACAAGACGCTAACGTTTATCAGCAAGCAAATTTTGGAAGGTGCCATTTGTCAGACGCTTAGTCTCAATTCCAAGGAATCCCAACTGTTACTACTGGCGACAGCCGAAGAAGGAGGCCTCTTTACGGAAACAAGGCAGACAGGATCCACCAGAGCAACCCAATATGGACTGATTGCTCCTCTCTTGTTTGCTGCTGATGGAGCTCAAGCTATTCTACAACCTGGATTGCTGTTGCACGATGATCCTGTCCAATATCCAAAGGCCTTGGTCATGGACCCGTTTCACGATGACTTTGCCTATTTGGTCAGCATGCATTCGGAATCCAAGGAAGAAAATACCCACACGACGATTGATTCCGAACCCAACTTTACCTATCTCCGCAAGTATGGATCGTCTTACTTTATTACAATTCGACGCATCTTGTTCAATGACCAAAAAATATTGCCCAACAGAGCGTGGAGCAGGGAATACGCCGTCACTCCGCAAAATTCTTTCGAAGCCAACGTCGTTGTGTCCAATATGATTTATAGCAAGGGCAACTTGTTGCTGGTCGGATACACCCAAGGCTCCGGAAATGCCTTTGGTAACGACGTAGGAAGCGGCATTAGCGGTTATGTCACCAAGTTTGATACAGAAACAGGAAACGTTCAAGATACTCCAGCTCGGGTATCGCTCGGAACTTCGTCGACCAGCTTTACTCTTCTCTATGATGTCTGCAATGACAACAAGGATGCCGATTTTATCTACATTACTGCCTTTACAGGAGAACAAGAAATTGTCTTGATCAAGATGAATGCGCAGCTATTGGAAATTGCATGGCAGGTCCCATTTACGTCCGATCAGGATGTTCACGATTTGATGTGTGCAGTCGATGAAACCAGTGGTGTCGTGTACATGGCAGGCGTGGTGGCTGATGGCGGAACTGTAACTGGGACTGTTACGGAGGGCAGTACAACGACTACTTCCTTGGGCCGCAATGATGTCTTTGTGACACAGCTTTCAACGGATTCCGGGAACGTCAATTGGTTGCGTCAAATGGGGACCGCCATGGATGATCGTGTGGCGTCCATTCAGATATTGACTTCGTCCACAGTGGGAGGAGGACTACTCATGTTTGGGGATTCCTCGGGGTCCCTAATGGCATCTGCTTCGAAGAGCAATGAAGTCTGGATTGCTCAAATTCCCATGGACGGGAATTTACCAACCACGACGGAAATTTCCAGTCAAGTCTCCAACGATGGTGGTAATGTACCAATTGGACAACCCGTTTATGACGATGGAGACCAAATCATTCCTCCAGATGATACGCCAAATTTTCCAAACACTCCGGCAGATGGTGGAGACGATACTAATGGTGGCGGAGGTGGTGATGCACCCGTGATCAATAATTCGAGCAGCGACGACGGTGCATATGATGATGATATGTTGAGACCATATGGTATATCTGCAATTATTGTCCTTATATTGTTTGCCATCGGGTTGGGTATTGTACGGCGCAAGCAAATCCAACAGGATCGAGTAACGGAACGGGCCTTGGTCTTTTCGTATCTACAAGCCTTTGAACCCGAAGACATTGATGTTCGCAACTCGGCGACGGGTGGTTGGCATGGAACCTATGTTGGAAAGTTGCACAGGGATGGGGCAGCTTCACATTCGTCAGTTGTCAAGGACAATACCTTTGTGGACTACGATTTGGGTTCCCCGGTTTCACCAAGTCGAGAGCCACGACGACAGTTTGTCATTGGGGACGATGACGGGGAGGACGACATGGAACTGGATGACCAGGCCGACGATGATGAATACCGCAACCGGTACAAGACGGATGATGACTATGAGAACGAGAACGACCAACGGGAAATGGATGCTGTCGATATTCGAATTGCTGGTACGAGTTCCGGCTATGAAGAGGAGGAGGAGAAACCGTCATGGGGGAAAGAAATTGTATAAACCATAAGAAAATCAATACATTTATATTATATAATCATTTCAATTGCTTCTAGGACTAGTTTGTATTCAACAACATGCGCTAGTTTATAATAATTGTCAAGGATGGATGAATCGGCATCGATTTCTCCCTCAGTGCCACCGCCAACTTCACATAGCTTTCTTCTAGTGGTAGCGACGAAGTCCACAGGCTCGATCAGCACCCTTTTTCTTTTTTCCACGCCGTTCGCGTCCCTTGGCAGAGTTGGGATTGCGTCGCCCGAACCCAACCCGAATGTCATCAGCAGTCATCGATCCCTTGGCGTTACAACCCACATTCGATGCAATATCTTTGCCGAAAATAGATTGAGCATGCGTCTTGGACTTTCCCCCGGTGCGCATTCGCATCTTTTGGTTCCAGGCACCTGTAAGCAACTGATCTTCTCGAAGCAATAGGTCTCCTTGGAAGCGGTTGCCAGATCCAGGCTTTGGGAGCGAGAACTTGGTTCCTCTCAAGTTGTGCCGGTAGTTCTTCTTCAAGTGCAACTTTAGACGTCCTGTCTTGCCGTCAATACTGCACGCTACTCGCTGCATCATCTCAGATCCACAATGGGAGCAAAATAATCGCTTCATTCCATTGAATTCCGCATCAGTGTGTACACGGAAGCATGCTCCGCATCGATAGACCCATGACTTGAGTCGACGAATCTTCATACCGTCCACACTCAAAAGAGGTAGGCCCATTTGCAAAAGAACGTTTTGCATAGCAAAATCAGTGGTGGTACAGGCAGTCCGTTGTGACGTGGGTGGGCCAAGGTTGCTGGCAGAAGCAGCTTTGTTGGAACTCTTGGGAACAAGACGTCCTTGCTGAATATCTGATGAGCATGTGATCCATCCTTCACCATCGTCGTCTTGTTCGTTCATGTCAGACATCATACCAGCACCACTGCTTCCCATGATTCGAGATTCTAAACCACGATCCGTGGGCTCTTCGTCTTTGGCAATTTTCATGAGTGCCGTGGTAGCTTTCTTGACCTCCTTTTTCTTTGGTGGAGCTGCTTTCATCAAGTCTCCATACTTTCGAAAGGAATTGTATAGCTTTCCCGAGTTGGAAATGGGCTTCAGCGCTTCTTGCCTTTTCCGTTCTCGTTCGGATTCTTCCTCCTCTAGTTTTTTCAGCATCGCTTCCTCATCATCTTCAGTCTCGGCGTCTGCCTTATCTTCTTCTTCCTCCTCCTCGTCATCACTGCCTTCGTACGGGACAGTGGCAGCTGCAGTTAAACTAGGAAAGGCAGATTCCAACTCCTTTTGAAGTTCTTCCTCGTTGGCAATATCATTGGTCTGATCATTTCCAGAGACATTCTCTTCGTCATCATCTGCATCATCAAATTGGCCACCACCGCCGGTAGCTGGGGACGGCTCTGCTAGCGTAATTGTCTTCATCGACTCTTTCACAACTGTAACAGAATCCGAAGCCGATGGGTTGGCAACCTTCGCCCAAGACATTGGTTGCTTGGGAGCTTCTGGTTTAGGAGCAGCAATGGGTTCTGGTGCATCTGCCACTGATGGAGATTGCTGGAAAAATGTCACTCCATCTTCCAATTCATTCCCTTCATCATCCGAATCTTCACCATCATCGTCTTCCTCCTCGACTGTGCCTTCCTTCTTCTCTTCCTGGTTTTCAGTCTTATCATCTCCCGCCAAGTTCTTGATCGGCCCTAACCCGACCATACGCTTAGGAGAAGTGCGAATGTGTTCCAAGTCCAAGCACCCTTCTTTTTCCAAGTCTACACAAAGCGCCAAAACTTGAATATCCACATTCGAAAGACTGGCGTGATCTCCAGTTTGCTTGGCAAAGGAAATCACTCGTTCCAAAGCTTCCTGAGAAGGCTCCCTTTGGTAGAGTTCAAAGGGCAACTGATCCAAACTTTGCCGTGCTTTGGCATCGCGAATCTCCTGAATCACTGCTGGGGTTGTATAATACACATTCGCTTTGCCGTACAACTTGCTGGTGGCCGTGTTCTTGATGATTGGACCAGAATCGATCACTAGCGCACGATACACGGCATCATCGCTATTATTGTTGTTGCTGTTGTTTGTTGAGGGATTGCTCATGATTGCAGGCTTGTTCCCACGTTCTTAGACCTTCTTTTCTTATTCGTAGCTTGCTTCTATATTGTTGAGGTGCAACCTTCCAGAGCAAACACTTTTTCGTTGAAGATGAGAAAACTTGTTTGAAAGAAAAAATGTCGAAGTGACGATTGGATGGGTGGGAAAGAACGGAGGGACGGCCAGGCCGTGAAGGGAAAATGTGACGCAACGAAAACGTAACCTATGGTGTCAACGACTTTGCCAATCCCTCTCTAAATTATGTTATCATCCTGTATGAGATTGAGATCATCGTGCATATGCTGCAAGGCTTCTGTGAATACGGCGGCAAGCAAGTCATAGTTTCTACAGTTTAGAACAAAACGCAGGTGAGATCTTCTTGTGATGACAGCATACTACTAGCAGTTCAGAATACTCCTCCTATCCAACAATCAGAACGTACCTCGTAGCTTCCTTGTGCTCCACACCAATGGCTTCGATCACTGTTGTCGTGTATTCTATGCCTGTCTTTCTAGAGACACCAACGTTGTGATATCGAATCATCTCTGGTTTGTATCGTGTCCCATGAGGGTGGCCCGATTTCTTGTCCGCAACATCCACCAACTTGTCATTCACAATTGTCAATTTCTCCGGCGGCGGCCCTTCGATCCAATCAATCTCACCCTGTGGTCGATGGCTAATCTTGATCGAGTCCAAGGGGTTTGTAGGCTCTTTGGAAGAGATACTGGAGGCTCTCTTGGCGCGTTCGGCGTGCAAGAGCCAAGTGTGAGCCCAGCTTAGGGACAAGTACGGGACCGCTCCATCACCGCAGCGAGCTAATCTTCCTGTTGTCATATTGAATTGATCTTCTTTCATTTTCTTTTGCCCCAAAAGAGACTCCAAGGTACTGCCACGACTTCCATCCAAATGCTCTCGTGTCACTTTGCCACGAGGATGCTCCCAGAAAACTGATTTGAGATCAGGTGGTGGACCAGTAGTATTCTTTGGAATAGCCACCTCTCCATCTGCGTTCACTTCGTATTGTTTGTTGTAAACGTATCCAGATTCGGTAGTCACGTCCACACCATATGCCATGATGACGTGTTTGATCAATGGTCGGCTGCGAGATGAAAAAGTAAAACGTTCAAAAGATGAGGAACACAATTGCGTTTCCAAGGACACAGACAGATCCGAGGTATCATTCATATACACTTACTCCCAAGTATGGTTCAAAACATTGGGTTTTCCTGCAGCTCCAAATGAATTGTCCAATTGGTCTTTCTTTATTATGAGTGGATCACCTTCTTCTGGCCACAGATTGTTGAATATTCGAAAGACTTCCCCTGTCTCCACCTCTTTTGGCTTGACGTGCATGAGATTCTCTTGAACACACTGCCTTTTTCCCTTTTTTCCCTGACAGCGTTCAATTTCAATATCAATCATTGGCTTTCCACTGTTCCAATCGACCCTATCTCTGAGGAAGGACTTGAGTGCTGGAAAATGCTTCCATGGATCATTATCGTCTTTGCTGGTCGCTTCAATGTCAATGGCAATATCATCCAAACAAGCCAGACGCTGACTATTGGGGCCTCCGTGCGCTTCAGACTCTCGTGTTCGGCTGGCTGGATCGTCGCAGAATCCCGTCGAGGTGGACACCGCATTCATCGTGTTGGTGGATCCAAAACTCAGCTCCATTTCCCTTGCCATTTCGTCCGTGATTGGGAGTCCCATGTGCTCTCCACTTATCACAGCACGCAGTGGATTGATAGCTCCCAAGTGAAGCGCGCTAAGTCCTACATATGTCCAAATGTGGGCTTCGATCCATTCCAGCCAATTGGCATCTCCTTCGTCCACGGCAAGTTCCCACAATTGAGCTTTTGTCGCGCTGTCCATCTCCAGATCATTGTCACTAGATTCAGATCCGGTCTTGGACCATTTCGGATATTTTTGTTGCTGTTGTTTCTGCTGCTGTTGCTGCTGTTGTCGGGTTGCCTCTTCCGAAGTCAGCCATCCATAAATATCATCAATACTCGATGCCACCCCGGTCATCCATCCTTCGGTCCAACTGTTGCCTGTTGCGGACGGAGCGGATGGAGTACTACCAGAGGAAGCAGATTTCGCTTTGTATAAAGCCTCTTGCATTTTCTTACTCTTTGCTCTTCGTTTCGCTCGTTTGATGTAATCGTTGTAGGCCTCTTTTCTCATTTCGATTCGAAGCCATTCCAAAAAGTAGCGAAAGACAACGTTGCCCATCGAATGTGCAATCATGATTCCAGGGTGACCATTGGTAGCTACCGAGCCTTCAATTCGTTTCCGCATCATGGTCAAAAATCCGTCCCGTTCTTCCATCTTGTCGGGTGTGAGTCTCCAATCATACGGCAATCCCACGATATTGGAAACATCGTATCCCAGATTGTCGGCCAACCATTGAATCAACCAAGCGTAGACAGTATTCGTTCCACCAATCAGCAGGTCACTTCCAATGCCACCAGGGGCAAGAGAAGCAATCGCATCCAAGCCTTCATCCGGTCGCAGTTTGCATCCAGTCTCCCAATCATCAGTATCGGATTGGTTCAGACCAAGCTGGAGACATTCTCGTAGACAATTCACATCAACTGTTCCCATCTGGAGCACCAAGTTGAGATTGAGCCACACATTGTCTTGCACCTTGATGTCACTGGCAAAAGCGCCAGTGCACTTTTTGAATTTCCAAGCCACCAACCGTGTCGAAGCCAACCCAGGGATCAAAAATATTGGCGGCCGCTTATTTTCCTTGGTCGTCGAGTTTGATAGACTTTGCAGTTGATTTCTCATGCTCAAGATTTGTTCATCATTCCCCCAGTGCTTATCCACTTTGCGTTTGTTTCCGTCGGCGGAACATGCCTTGTTATTTTCCATGTCCTCACTGTCAGTGCTGTCACTTTCCAAATGATCGCCTCCTCCCTGAAGGCAGGTAGCATCAATTATTGTTTCCGTTTCAATCGTAGAGTCTGGTGGCGCATAACACTCTGCTTCGTTTTCAGTCTCGCAAGATGGGTCACTTGTGAAGGGATCAAAGAAACTATCTTCGATTTGATCAATATGCTCGACATCCTCTGGACGTAGTCGTGATTCCTTGACTTTGTCTTGTGGTAGTATTGGGAGTTTTGCGTCTACAGTGTCCTCTGCTGCTTCCAAAGACTTGGTAGACGATGAAACAATAGGCTCAGAGTGTTCGTCGAATTGCTCTTTCTCTGAACCATCGTCTGCCAACGTCTTTTTGGTTCCTTTTTCAATGTCAGTATTTGATGATGTGTCATCTTCTTCGGATTGATGATGCCGATTGTCGTCATTGAAATCCTCACTTTCTTCGTTCTGCTGTACTATTGGTTCCTGTATTGATTGTACATCCACTGGCTGAGATGATGACGACGGTATTGCATCAGTCGGATTATTCGTTATTGTTGACGTAGTGGTGAGATCCACCACAATAGCTTTTCCAGCAATAATATTAGCTTTTGGCTTATTCTTTTTTCCTGCTGCAGCAGCAGTTGTGGTTGTGGTTGTTGTTGTTGTTGTTAACCGATCATCGTCTCGAGCAACTCCAAAGGCTGTTGTTGTAGATCCTTGATTTATGAACGATGAAGATGATGGGTTCTCTTCTGTAGCTGCTGATGATGATGATGACGATGTTGATGTTTGGTCATGATCCTCGTTATTGACACCTTCCTGATGTGATGATGAAGACTGCTCGATGGCTCTGACGACCACTGAGACATGAAAGTCTTGCTGGCAACCAAGAAATATCAATGCACCAAGAATCCAAAGTCGTATTCTACTTCGACTTTGAGTCGCCATGCTGCAGCAGGCTGTGTGTATTGGTGGTGACAGATATGACAAGAACGGAACGATGATGCAAAACTCACATCAACAGAAACCGGAATCCTGTCATCAGTGACGTCAGATCAAATCTGAATACAACAGTGTAAAAGTTAGCTGGAAGGGAGAATCGAACTCCCGATCTTTTGATTACAAGTCAAATGCGTTACCACTGCGCCATTCCAGCATTGTCACATCAATGATAAGTGCATGTATACAAAGCTTTATTGTGTGGTCAAAGCCATACGTACCCATTTCTGAGCCATCAAAGCAGACAGCATAATAATATGAATCGTCAAGAACAAAAGCAAACTATTAAGTAAGGAAACATGATGATGAGGCGAGTAGCACAGTTGACGACGTTAGCTTCGATTCTTTATTCATCGCACTGTTTTGTTGTACCAGTCTCCAATGGAAACACAAGACATTCCACCCTCCCCTTGGCAGGTTTGTTGGACGAATATCTCATCTCCGAAGGTGACAACAAACTTCTGCCGAAGGAACAAGCAGTAGTAATCGCTAAAGACCCACCAATGACCACTGAATCAGTCTCGATTCAACAATATGAAGATTTGTTCCATTCTCTGATATTCTCGGGTGACACACGTGCTGATGTTGCACGGCAACTCGAACAGTGCACTGATTCCAAGTTCGCCGAATACCTTCAGACCACCTTGGACCAATCTCAAGACGAAGACGAAAAAGAAGGCTTGCAGGAACTAATGGATATGATTGCTCAAGTAGTGGTGGAAGAAAAAGAGTTGAAAGAACAACAGAAGATGGAAGAATTAAATTCCAAAGACGAAGCGGCAAAGGCTGAACGTCAGGCAGAACTCGAAAAGGAAGCGAACGAGAATAAGGTTGCTGCTAGTATATCATCAGCTGCTCAATCATCCATGTCAAATGTAGATGTACTGAAGCAAGCGAATGCTATCGATGAGGCTGTAATGACCAATGTCATGTCCGATGATGAGAAGCCGTCGGATTTCATTTCGGATTGCCGAGAGGTTGTCAACTTGTCGCGTGGATTCAACAATAAGGGCCGAATGCGAGTTGGAGGAAGGTGAGATATATAGTTTCATATGTATAAGATGAGAGAGATATAGTATGGATGTGAAGAAATAGGAAAGTCAAGAAGTAATCAAATTATTTCGAATTCGATTGATCTATTGATATCTAATATGCTGATCATCCTGCCATCGCCTTTGTTAACCAAGGAACAGTGGCATTCTAGCCGTTGTCATTTAATTGTTGTCCATTCGTTGTAACAAAAAAGAGATTGTGATGGACTATTGCAGAAACATTGAAATGCCTGTTTTGGTAGTTCTGCCTCCTGCCCTAGCAAATTGAAACTTGCATCAATAATATAGTATCAGCAAGAGTTCCTGACGATATTGTAACACATTCTTCGTAACATACAGTAGTCAATGGGTGTATTATTGCGAGAGAAAATTGGACCAGATGCGACGGACTATGATGAAGTCGATTGATTTCATCAACTTTGCCATCAGAAAAAGAACTCCATTGGAACCTTCAAAGCTGGAACAATATGGTGCGGGACCTTTGAAGCAAGCATCATCATAAAGAATCCGATTAGTATCGGTACTCCTATACGTAGACTATAAGAAAAGGCATTATTTGCATCAATTGTTTTTTTTAAAATTTTTTATTTTTTGTGTCCATTGAATTTGTTTCCATTCAAAGATATATATGTTTTGATATACAGATTGGATGAGCACACATATGATATATGTATGCAACAACTGATGTGTCGTTTGTGCCGCCGTGCATTCTGTTTTTGAATATTATTGTGCACTCTTGTGAATGACTCGACTGGGAGATGGATGATTGCGTAGCTCCACTTGTTGGGCTCGCTTTGGCCTTGATATTGCAGTATGCATTGTAGGATATCTCTTTGATACGTTGATGAACATATATGATATGTATGTATTCGACAACCATTGTGTCGTCGTTGGTGCCGTGAGTTCTGCTTTAGAATCACATGCTCGACTTGAGCTTGATTTTTTTGGAGTTCGACTGTATAGCCTTGGTTGTAGTGTGTATTGTATTTCTTCCTTCAGACACCGATAAGATGAAGCTTTACCGCTGTTGCGCAGAAGCAACAAGGTACCAAAAAGTAGCAGCGGAAAGGACACATATCACATATCCTTCAGCAAGGAAACTATTTTCGAATAGCAGGCTGCAACCACAAGGATCTTTCACGGAAGCGCACCCTCCTCTTCCATCATTGTCCTTCTTTAACATGATAGTCAGTTGCGATTGCAAAGTGTTGGCCAACATTTTTCTGACAAAAGCCAAATAAAGGACACTGAAAGAAAAAAAAAGATTGCGCGTTTCGAGAAAAGGTCAGAGTGCGGAAGCGGCGGGTGCAGTATATGTTCTCCTAGAGAAGCAGTACAGGGCCTGCTTGAACAAGCGATCAGCAGCTTTATTCTTGACCGGGCAAAAGTGTCTCGTTGGTTCGAAACATGACCGCGCATTCCCATTTGGTTTGAAACTCATTGATTGGAGTCCCAGGTATTTGTGCCTCGAGACGGAATGAGCGTTCCGTTCGCTCTCTCATTTCCTTGATCTTCTGGTCATATTGCTTCTTTGCCATCTTGCGCTTGTAAGAGCCAATAATTGTTTTCCCAGAGGATGGTGGAACGGTTCTTGGAGGAGGACCTTCTTGTCCAAGATAATCACAGCAGACCTTATTGAGGCAGAAATTCGGCAGTATTACCACAACCCAATAGTACTTGACTTTGCCAGGATAATTTTCAAGCGCTCCCTCGACGGCAAGCTTGACAAGACTAGTCATGGTGCTGCTCACAACAGAAAGGGCCGAGATCCACATGCAGACCCAGCTTGAAAGTGCAGAGATCAAGTCAGTAAAGACTTGGACTCCGGGCTTGGTAGTTTCAATGGTTCGCATGAGCATATTAAGCTTGACAAGACTCATCATGACGCTGACGAAACTTGCAAGCATCCAGCTCATCATACAGGTCAATTCAGCAAAGACTGGGACACATGCCATGAGAGTAAACTTGAAACGACCAATGATGCTAGCCATTCCAAAAGAGGAGTAATTTGGAAGAATAGATGGCGACCATGGTGGCATCATGTTTCCCTCAGAGCGGAAGGTTTCGCTGATGGGAAGTTTGAGAATTTCTTGGCCCACAAAGGCAAAGACAGGTGTGATGCAATGGGCCAAGGCTTCTTCACAATAAGCTTCTTTGATGATCAAGTGTTGTGGACCAAAGGGAACCAATAAGTCGCTTGAGCCAAGAATGACCAGGTCGGTACAGGTAGAAACTCTGAGAACCAATTCTCGTGTAGCAAAGAGTACCAAGGATCGTGTTGCTCTCACGATAATGGCTCGTGTGGCTCTGACAATGATGGCTCGTGTGGCCATAAGGACCAGATCGCGTGGAGCTCGGACAATGAGCTGTAGATAGGTTTCGCTGGTTGGAAGAGCAAAGATTTGGCTGTTGAGAACGGTGGCGTTGCCAATAAAGCTCTTGATTATGTTGGTGATCCCTCCAATAGCATCGGAAACGGTTCGACCGACTGCAGCAATGGAAATGGATCCGAAGATGGCTCGGACGCCTGCAACAATGGTGGTGGTTTGGGTGGCGATGACACTGTGGACTGCTGGTGCAACTGCAACTCGACTGATGAGCTGCTGAGCAATGACAGGCATGGCGGCGACGAGCATGACAATCAGAGTCAACGCAAGTGGCATGGTGATGGTGTTGATGATGGTGTTGATGATGTTGTTGTTGTTCATGAAAATGAAGGAAAACATCGTTGCGATAAAGTTGTTTGTTTGCTGGTAAGGATTGAGATCGATATCACACACAAAAGCTGGATGCTTTGTTTTTATGAGCATTTCTGAGTGAATTCAAGATTGCAAGATGCACAGCACGGTCTTGGAAAGAAACGTTTTGTTGAAAAGTTTTGCGGGAGCGGTTTGCGAAACTTTCCACGCTTCAGTCATCGTCGCCAAAAAGAAACCGACTTCATCTGGCAGCTAAATTGCCAAGGAAAGAAAGCCAAAGCCGACTGTGTTCATTTATCATTCCTCGTGTGTTGAAAGGTTGTGGCGCCTCCATGGTTGAGATGAACACAAGAAACGCCACACAGTACTGGGGTGGTCAAGCAATAATCATCACCTGCTTGTTTTTTGAAACTACTGCGATGGTTTGCAGACATTGTAATTGATAAAATCGGCAAATCGACAGATCGGGGGTGTAGCTCAGGGGTAGAGCGTCCGCTTTGCATTACTGTCAAGACTGCGGAAGGTCAGGGGTTCGATTCCCCTCACCTCCACTATTCGTTTTGCATCTTGCATATGTATGAGTTTTGTCACGGAAGCGATAAACTTGAAACTGTACCGTGTACTGCTGGTTCAATACTTGAATACTTGCTGACACGCCACTGCAACATTGCCTCTGTTTCCTTTTTCGTCAACAACTCTCGCCTATGATAGTCTAATCTCACGGTGTATTTGTTTTATTGTGCACTTGCGCGCGCCATCAAAAGGCATTTTTGGACTCCTTTGATTCATCATCCAGTATGACCGACCGCGAACACTTTGGAACTCATCATCATAACTTTTTCCGTTTCCAATAATACAAACTACAGTACAATCTCTCGAGCTCATGGTTGTTATTAATACAGGACCAATACTATAATAAGGGACAAAGGAATAAAAGGCGCAGCAACGCAAAAGAGACGAGCGTTTGGGTTGAAAGCGAGAAGAATGAAACTGCATTGAAGCCGACGAATACAATCTTTTGCCTTAATTTGTTGTCGATTGATTCAGTCGTATATACTACATATACTATACATATCCTACATTGAATACATACAGATCTTTACACACCAAGCACGATAGGATAGGATAGGATAGGATAGGATACGATACGATACGATACGATACGATACGATACGGTACTTAAATACAAATATAAAATGCCGGACGACTCCTTGTGGTATCTCATCATCATGGGAGGCTCCGGCCTAGTCTTGGTCTTTGTGGGCTGTTTCGTTGTTCCACTTATATCCTTTCTTTGCAAATTGCGATATCCGCCACTCTCGGAGGAAGAACAACGACGATTGAATGATGCCAACGATCAAACGTTGCAATCTTTGCTTCAACTTGTGGACAAGCAAGCTGTGGTAAGTCGGTATTCTGCAATGAATTATATTCATCGTGTCTGTATTATATATGTAGGATACTGTATATATGTATATTGAATACATATGTTTCACTGTCGTCTCACATATGCTGCTTCTCACACCAATTTTTCACTTATTGCTGTCAGCATGTATCGGATGTTATGGATCGATCGAATAATACCGGTACAATTAGATACAATGGGCAGGATCCATCGAACCAAAATGACCTTTCCACGACTTTTGCAGCAGCACCCAATCACAAGTCACAAACAGGATCAGCATCATCATCATCATCATCATCATCAGCAGCAGCAGCATCCTCAAAAAAGGGGTCATCAGTCAATAAGGGTTTCTTTTGCACAACTCTAATATCGACTGCCTTTGGCAATACTCATGATAACAATACGAGGAATTGCGGGAATAAGATTCATGGCAAGATGAAAGAGACGAAGCAAAAGAGGAGGAGGGACAATAAGAGTAAGTCCAACAAGACGACAGATGAGTCACAACCAACATTATTGTCAAACGACGGTGGTAATGGTGACGAGGATTATGATGTCGAAGCTGCCAATGAGAAAGAAGGTACCAATACGATGAAACAGCAACCAGTGGACGTCTTTTCAGAAAATGACAATGATGTTGCAGGTGACGTGGGTGAAAAGGCAGCAGGTGCTTCCACTACACCTTTGCAATCGTTGGATGACCAACAACACCAGCCACAACGACGAGATCAAGATCAAAATTTCCTCGCCTCTTTGGATTCTCAGCATGATTCAAACAATAAGACTATTGGTACCACTTGTGCCATTTGTCTCGAAGAATATAATGATAATCATCATCATACAGAAGACGAGGTCGAACAACAAGAACAACAAATCATTTGCGCATCCGGTGGATGTTCGTCGCATTACTTTCACAAGAATTGCATGAAATCGTTGATACGATCACGTGCTCGAAAGGGAATCTACGAGGTGGTGCCATGTCCCATTTGTCGGTTGTCTTTTTTTGCGCCAACTACTTGGAATCTTCAAGTCAACAACAACAACAACAACAACAACAACAACAACAACAACAATGCAACAACAACTGGTACTGGTACTGGTACTGGTACTAGTACTAGTATCAGTGGAGAGAATGCTGGTGGGAATCAACAACAAAGTTACAATAACAATGATGACACCATGGATGACGTGGGAACTACTATCAGAACGAACACAATCATATCGAATGAAGAAGCATCACCAGCAGGCGAAGCATCATCCACCAGTTCGGTTCCAGAACCATCATCATTATCAGCATCAGCATCACTGTCATCATCACAATCACGACCATCCCAACCATCAGCGCCATCTTTGGAACGACACAATAATGGTACCAAGAGTACTAGTTCGGAAAATGATACCATTGTCAATTCCACTTGCGTCAGTGGGCCTACTGCTCATGATAATGGTAATGACAATACCAATGCCACTGTCACTCGGTCGAAGAAGAATAAGAAAAAGAGCAAGAGAAAATCCAAGAAACCGACGCAAGAATAGAATATAGAAGCGGGAGATAGAGGACCGAGAGTAAAGTACTACAAGGTGATTGACTATATATACTATAGAATCACTCAGCCCTGGTCATGACAATGATAACAATGATAAACACTTACTTATACAGTACTATTAGCCAGTATATGTCACATAATATAGAACTTTTCTGAGTTTAGCAATTCTCAGACAAGTGATGGAATCCTTTCGTTTCCACCTAATAAGATCACAATACCTTAAAGAATATACACCGGTACTGTAGGTATAAAACAGTACATACTGTAGTAGTGGTATCGGAGTTTCACTGCGGTTTCGCACCCTCCAACCGTATCCGCATGCAGGAAGGATTTATCGTCACAGAACGTGCATGACTGTCGCATTATTTATGGGCATTGAAGTCACAAGCGTCATTTTGAAATTTTGATGTTCAGGCCCGCAAAATTCGAAAAACAGATGCATCGATTCTATATTTTATTTCTATACCGCGTACCGTACCGTATCCATCCGCTTATATTATACTATATTCATTCATTCATTCATCATACAATATAAAAGACTGAAGGCACACTATACTGTATAATGCCAGCTCCCAACGACGCCGAACAAAGCAAAAACTCTGATAATGCTGATGATAAGGAACAAGCAGCGCTCGTACAAAATGCTGATCTAGAAAATACGGCTGGAGATGATAATAAGACTCCCATGAATAATAACAATGACCTTTCACATCATAATCAACTTGATGATGACACCCACTTTGGTCGACGAAAGAAATACAATTCCATCAGCATGGATGGGGAATATGGAAAGCAACTCAAGAACAATGTTTTCAGTTTGATATACACCACCAAAGTCTCAAGCCCCAGTTTTGCTCTGGCCATCTTCTTTGTTCTATTTCAATCCGGGTTGTTGATTTTGGCACTTTTGGATTTGATAGAGTTCAATGATACGAACAATCCTCTTCGGGTTCCGACTGATGTTTCTCTGGAAGTTCGGATCACCAGTGTCATGTGCCTCATTTTGGCAATTCCTCTCTTTTGGGACTTGATGGATTCCATTGAGAGGCTTCAGCAGGGTGCTCCTCCTTCAGGATTGGATCATGCGCCTCCAGGTGCTTCCTCAGCGTACGTATATATATATATATACATGGCATATACTGTTCATATCGCCAGTCAGTCAACATCAGCACACATTGTCTAACTTTTGTGTATATACCACAGGAAATATTATTTTGCATTTTCCCTGCAATTGATTGTCGGAATCTTGTATCAGATTGCCATGTTCATTCTTGTGGTGACGCCCAGCAGTGTAGTGGAAATGTTTCTAAACTTTGCGGCACTCGAGTTTATCACCGAAGTGGACGAGATTGCCTTTGCTCTAGCAGTTCGAGGTTATTTGTCGAGTACCATGAAGGATTCTTGTATCGCTGTCACTCAGTTCAAGCTTCCACCGAACAAGGGCGGGCGATGGGTTCGTCGCGTCGTGTATTTCTTGGTGACGGCACTCATGTTGGGAATGTATGGTCGCATCTGGACGAGACAGAGAGCTGGAGCGTACGATTGTACTCGCCTACAAGTACAATTTGGTGATGGATACAGTGAGTGAAATGCATTCGATTTATCAGGATGGCAATGCAGAATTATTTTTGTGTTGTAATAGAGATGATTCACTCACATCAATGCTTTTTCCTCGCAGTTACTACATTGCCTGCATTCTCAGGCTTCTATTCATATTCACGATCGGAGTATCATGATGGCCGCCCCGCCTACGTCGACGATAAGGGTCGCAGTGCCTTTCGATACTGCATCCATCAGGAGAGCGGGTACTGGGTATTCAATCACTTGAAAAATACAGATGTCAACTCGATCAATGATATGTGCACCAACTACATCTCACGCTCTCCGTACACACCGGGCTATAACATTATGGATCTACCCAGCAGCACCTGGTTTACGAAGCGCAGTAGCACGGACAAACTAGAGTTTCCAGTGGACTACTTCACCATACGGTGAGTTGTTGATAATGATGGCCTTGTTGCTTTATTCCTTTCCCGACGGCTCACCCATTATACTTGTTGCATTGATTCGTTGATTCATTCACTTGCAATAACACGATAGATGTACGGATTGCGATGAGACGAACTGCAACGGAGTCTGTGCGGACAATGGAGAGTGTGTTTGCAGCAAAAATCAGTATGGCGACAATTGCCAATTCATCGACCCCCCATGTCCCAAAACCAGCTACGATCATCGCGAACCGCCCTTTGTAGGAGCTGGTACATTCTATAGCTCCGAGTTTGATTTGTTGTTGAACCGAAATGGTGAACCAGCTTTTGCCTTTGGACGGCCCATCTACATCTTCAATGCTCATAATGTCACCGATGTCCTGTAAGTTCCAAGTGTTCGTTCATCATTCTTTGCCATGCATGCTGATCACTGCTTTCTTTACATTATGTGATTCTAATCACACACCTACTGCTATACTATAACTTCAGAATGAACTTTGGTAGAAGGTATTTCATGTTTTCGTTGAAAAAAGGGTTGGTTCCGTCATTGCAGGGCAAAGACTTGGCAACAATCGATGAACTTGAGGAACGAGCCATCATTGCCGAGTATTTGGAGAGTATTCACCCTTACTTTGACTGTAAGTGAAAACTGCTGATGCCATTCCTCTGTTTGTCTCCTTTTGGGAGAATAAATCTCATTTCTTTCTTGTTTACTACTATACGTCAGGGATCGAACCTGAGTATGTCTCCACCACCAACTCAACTTTGGCGCCTGCCACAAGACCAGCTTTCGTTAGCGCCCCTATTGACATTGGTACAGCTTCTGACAGTATATCACCACTTGGTTTGGCGTGGTGGCGAGTGGACGAAACCGTCGAGGTAGAGTTTGGAGAATATTACGATCTATACATACCAGGCCCGGCAGTCGAGACTACATTGGTCTGTGCCACATGCTCTCATAATCACCCCTGCAGTGTAGGGGGGAGTTGTAATATCTCCGCTGGCGTTTGTGTCTGCAGTTGTGACAATGCCACAGGAATTTGCTTCCAAGGTCCAACATGCGAAGTCGAGCCCCCTTGCATTGCAAATGAGACTTGTGTTATAATTACACCATAGGTAGAGACTGGTCTACGCTGCGGGTCGACGTCGAGTCTCATTATTTTTGAAGTATAATACGTTGTGTAATGTTGTTCATATCTTTCTTTGTACATATTTGTTTTAGATTCCAGCAGCAAGTACAGTATACTATAGTAGTATTAGAAGCTTTCTAGCAACTTTGGATCCATGACAAAGCAATCCCCTTCAACGTGTTTGACCTGAAAGAGTTCTCGGCTTATTTGCCGCTTCCCCTTTCCCGGACCGTCGCCGCTTTCCTTCCCATCACTACGCAGGCCCGTGTCTCCATCTTTTGGTTGTCCTTCTGGAGCTGCTGTCTTGGCCAAGAATGCAAGTATATTCGACATGTCAAAAATGGTCTTGACCAATACAATGGACCCCGTAATGTCAATACCGAGGGAACCCTGATGATCTTCGCAGTGCAAGCAACAAGCTTGAATGATAGAATCTACAACGGAAGGAGAGCTCGTCTTGATCCTCAAAATGACCATGTTTTGCTTCAAGTATTTGCGAATGGAACAAAATCCTTCGTACAAAGTGTGAAAGGGACCACATAGAGTCGAAACATTCTCCCAAAAGGTTGACGTAAACCTGCGGCCGCCGGTGGCTTGGGCAATGGTGACTGCAAGCTGATCCGATATGGAATCACAAGGATGGAGAATTCCGAGCTTGTAGAATTCCTCTTCATCTGGCTCAATGGTAACTTTCTTCACTGCTCGACACATGTGCTGAAGACCCGTAACAGCACAATAGGCATGCACCTTCCACTGATTACAGTTCAGACTATGAACAAAATAGGAGTTTCGTCCCATTTGATTGTGTCGAAGGTCGTTGGGATTATTTTGTCGAGTGACGACGAACATTTTCCAGTCCACCGAATGAAAGACTCCGAGATTCAGCCAATTCTTCCAGTCATTCAGAATTCTGCATGGTCCTTGAAAGGTAAAGACAGCATTCTCAGGATCCGCTAGCTCCAGAAAGGCTGTCTTGGTTCGCTGAGGTAGAACCCGACCTTGTTCAAAGGGAGAATACATGTCATACGGTAGTAGAATCTGATCCGCAGCGGATGTGACCGCCACCAAATCTAATAAATTCGTGACACTGACAGTCCCTTTCAGGACGAGCTCAAAGAGATTCACCAAGACTTCGTGACTCCAATCTGGTTTGTTGATAACATGCGTTGAAGATTCAAGCATGCCGTGACGAAAGATGGTTCGAAAGTAATCGCAGGCTTCTTCCAGTTGTTCCCGCGTCTGATTTGAAACCTTATAAGTGGCATCGCCTTTGCATTTGATGATAAAGGCAATTTCATCACTGTCGTTTTCGCCATTGTCTTGTGAGGATTCTTCATTGCTTAGGCGTTGTCGTTTGGATTGTACTTCTGTCATTGTTGCAAAGTGCGTTGAGTCTTGATGGTGATGGAGAGTCTGAAGATGAAAATAGAATAATGCGTGCTGATGGGACTGAATGTGATTATGATGATGATGATGATGATGATGATGTCGATGTGGCATCAACAGGTTTTCTTCTCGCGTGTTTGAATAAAAATCGATGGATGTGCGCGTGGAGAGTTACCGTACACGTGTACCGGTACGTGTATTATTGTCGAGTCGAACCAGTCAGTCAGTCAGGTAGTACTTCAAACGATCTCCGAATTATACATAGGTACCCGGTACACATACCGGTAGTCCCTCGAAGCACGCATAGAACACGGCACGACAGTATTTAGGGTCAGGAGTTTTAGTACTATTTATGCACTAGAACCTATCATTACTGTATTCTACCGGTAATACATACATGTTGTTATTCAACATTACCAAGCCAATCAAAACCGTCGCTCGCCCTTGCAACCAGGTGCGGTGAAATTCTGAAAGCAATCAACACACCCTGGCGCCTCTGGATTGTTCCGACAATCGGGACAGTCTGATGCTCGTGGGTTGCTATAGCATTCCAGCTCACATCGGCTGTCAAAAGTATAATCGGCAAAGCAGCGAGGGCAATACTTGCTATCTGGAACCTCGTAGCAGTCCTTCTCACACAGTCGGCCTGTGGTTCCAAAGCTGCATTCACAAAAGTTACTATTCGCATTACACATGCCATTGTTCAAACAAGGAGCATTCTTGGAACATGTGGCACACAGTAGCACTGTATCAATGCTGCCTCCACGCAGGAAAATATCAAAGTAGTTCTCGGAGTTGAGCTCCAGTCGATTCACCCGAGCCCACGATAGACCCAGAGGAGAGATATTATCAGTGGCAGTACCAATGTCAATGGGGTCACTCACAAAGACCGCACGATGGAATGGTGTAGTCCCGTTTTGTCCATATACAAATTCTGGCTCTATCCCTAATGTTGAATCCAAAAGAAGAGAGTGTGAGTTTCAAATATGCCACACCGAAGCTCTATAAGAAGACTCCATATTTCCTTACAATCGTAATAAGGATGTACTTGCTCCAGGTAATCCGCGAGCAATGCGCCGTCTTGGTAGGCATCCTGTACGCCATCAATCATGGAAGGCGTCAAATAGAACATGAAATATCGTCTCCCTAGATTCATTCTTGAGTTGCAGTATATATATCGTTGTCAGTCGGTGTTGTAAGGAACCGTATGAAGATGAGGAAATAGGAAGCATGCAACGAGGAATGTGTGAGTCTTCAGGAGGGCTCCACAAATCAACCAACACATGGCAAAGAAACATACAGAATGTCCACTTCATCATCTCCAATGACATAGCTGTAGATGGGCCTGTTGTATGAAAAGGCAATCTCGTTTCCGCTATTCCTCATTAGGTAGTAGTCAGAGCTGTATGTACTACCAGCTCCCGAAAATGGGCTCGTCCGACGATCATAATCCGTCTCCACGCACGGCGGCTCGGTGAATTGGCAGTGTGTACCAAAGCGTCCAGATTCAAGGCAAAGGCATTCGTCATTGACACATTCACCATTGCAAGTAGATGCATCACAATCAGCGCAAATAATGTTGAAGTAATCTGTCAAGTATTCTACCGAGTCTGTAAGACGATGTTTTGCCAGCCACCGGTTGCCTGGTTGCTCTAAAATGTCATATCCCTTCGTGTCGGGAGATCTCGCCATGTAGTTGGTGCACATCTCTTCAATGGGCGAGTTTTCATCGGGACGGACATTGAAGACCCAATATCCGCTCTCGGCAAAACTAAAGATGCCGCCGTCGCCATTGGCACAATATCGAAAGACTGCTCGCCGCCGTTCATCCATGTAGACCGGCCGTCCATCATAAAAATCTCGTTGATAGGTGTAAATGCCTGAAAAGACTTGCAATAAAGTGACTGAAGATAAAACAAGAAAACAATTGCAATCCTTTGGTGTGAGTGACTTGCTTGCGCAATATACATAAATGCATCCCCAAGGTTCGACTCACTAAAACCGTCACCAAACTGTACTTCAATACGCCTACAGTCAAACTGGCCCTTCTCCTCTTGCAGCATGATGAGTCCAAACATTCCCAGAACCGAGCCCGTAATGATGAGAATTTGAAATCGACGAGAGATCCGTCCGCCCTTTTTTCGCAAAAATACCATTCCCTCCACCTCCTCACATGCTACTTTGATCGAGTCGGTAAAGTATCCACGCTTGCCCAGAGCAAAGGCAACGTCATCGACGTGAGTGATAAACTCCAAAGCTGCAAAATTGAGAAACATGCCGACCACCGTGGTCGACTGAACCACCAGGGTGAATATCGTAATGATGAATAGTGTGCCCATGATAAATTGCATGGTGTAGGCTAGATAGAATTTCCTGTGATTGAATAATATATATACAAACAAGAAGTTCACATGTGAGTCTGTATATAGTCTCTTGCAATTCGTATTGCAATTCGTATTGCGCCAAAATATAAGCATATATGTCTTGCTGCGAACGAACTCACCAGTCAGTTGCTCCAACTGGAGTGTATGGTGATGACCGAGGCGGAGGACCATGACCGATTCTGATGTATTCAAAAAAGGGTTGCCATTAGATTTTGATACTGTTTCCATGAGAACTTTCTTTTAAAGAACTTACCGATCCACTGCCTCCATAAAGTCCCAGTATTGCGATACTGCAAGAATCAAGGCCATTGCTCCAATGATTCTGACCTGCAAAGACACGCTATTGGGTACCTGAAGCGGGTTCTTGTCGTCGCTGAAAATGATCAAGTCAAGGAGCGCCAATGAAGGCATTACTATTTGGAAGAGTGACACAAATATTCCAAGCCAAAATGCAGAAGAGTCAACAGGAGAAATGTAGATGAGACTAAATACATTCTCAGTCATTGTCTCTTTGGCGAATCGCTTGTCTTGCTTTTCCTCCTCTTCATCATCACTGTCATCAAGCGCACTAGCATGAACTATTTGCTTATCTGTATCAACAGCGCTCTCTGGATCGTGAGTAGTACTTCGTTGGCGCCGTCGAATGCTATTGTTCAATCCTGCTTGTTCGTCTGTTGCTTGCAATAATCTTATATTATTGTTGCGTGTGTCACCTTCCACATTGTTATCTTCGTTGCTGAAGTCTTCTTTTGACGTCGTCATATTTGCTGCTGTCTCTCCAGGACTTTGATGTTTGCTGTTATTGTTCAATTGCGGACTATAGGAAGAGAGTGTTGTACTACGTGTACACGAATACTGTGAGCGACGCCTAATACTGTGATGACGATAGATGACTCTCTGCGAAGTTTCATGCTGATGTTGGCAAAATTGAAAATGAGTTGATATATATATATTTAACACGCAAGGCCAAAAGACCTTCTATTTTGGATTGCTGGCGAATAAACGGCCTGGTTTACTTATGTTCTTAGCCGGTCTTTTCTCTAAGTATTGTTTCCAAGTTGAAAGTCGGAAGTTTTGCGCTAATTGAAATTCAGAAACGGAAATAATACGTGGCAGGAGAAGAATATGACCAAAATGAATGAATCTCGGATCGTCACAATAACCTTTTTGCAATACCGGTAGATATCCATCTCACCCATTACAGTTTATGCAGTTCGAATGTTAACTATCTACAAACTTTAAAAAACAAAAGTATGTATGAAACATAGCATTCAATGTCTCTCGACTGAGGCAGAGCCATTTTTCTTTCTATCCGTATCGTCGCTGCAGACCAACAACTGCTGTCCCATTTCTCCCTTCTCCCTTGCAACCTGGTGAAGTAATGTTTCCAAAGCAATCTATGCAGTCTGATGCAAACGGGTCATTTCGACAGTCCGGACAATCCAGTGCCTTCGAGTCCCAGAAGCAGTCTTGACATTTATTGTCCCATCCATATTCCAAAAAGCATCTCGGGCATAGACCATTTCCAGGATCCTCCCAGCAGTCAGCTGTTCACGCCGGCCAACCAAGTTAGTTATAGTGTCGGCATTCATGCATCGAGGCACACGGTCATGCATGACAAATTTTTACATACCTTCGCATTGTCTTCCAACATGACCAAGAGTGCACTGACATCGTTGATCGCCATCGCATACGCCTTGATTCAAGCACGGCGATACTTTCGAGCAGGTTGCGCAGAGCAAGACTGTATCAATATGTCCTCCAATAAGAAACATGTCAAAGTAGTTTTCGGTATCCAGTTCCACACGGTTTATCCGTGACCAAGACAAACCCATTGGAGACGCGTTGTCAGTTGCAGTACCAACGTCAATAGGGTCGCTCACAAATACTGGAAGATGAAATGGTATCAAACTGGCTTCGGGTGTACGCGTCACAAACTGTGGCTCAATCCCTACATTGAAAACGACGACGATAAGTGTTAGCATGACACAGCGACAAGAATGAATCATCTTTATCAGTAGGTTTCAGTTATTTCGACCAACATGCATACTTACAATCATAATAGGGATGTATTTCGTTCCCGAGATAGTCTGCAAGAATTGCGATATCTTCCGATGTATCGTTCACGCCTTCAATCAAGGAAGAATTCAGATAGAAGAGGAAATATCGCCTACCAAAATGCATAAGAATATCAATCTCGTCCTCTGCATTGACATAGCTGTATATTGGTCGATGGTAAGCAAGTGCCACTTCATTTTTGCTGTTCCGCATTAGATTGTAGGTCGAACTGTACTTGATACCTGCTCCAGAAAATGGACTCGTTCTCTGATCGAAGTCGGTTTCCTCGCATGGTGGGTCAGTAAACTGGCAATGTAAGCCGAACTGATCCCCGGAACAAGCACATTCACCACCATCGATACATTCTCCATTGCAATTGGCTGGAGAGCAGTCCACGCATTTCAGACTCATGTAGTCGACAACGTATTCAATAGTATCCGTGACACGGTGTTTCGTAAGCCACGATGTTGGTGGCTGTTCCAATATGTCATATCCTTTGGTATCGGGTGACCGAGATAGGTAGTTGGTGCACATGTCATCAATGGATTTGATGTCGTTTGAAAGCACATTGAAGACCCAGTATCCGCTCTCTGCAAAGCTAAAGATTCCGTCATCACCATTTTCACAATATCGGAAAGCGGCCCTCTTTCGGGTATCCCAATATACTGGTCGGCCCTCTCGATGTTGTCTTTCATAATAGTACACACCCGAGAACAATGGAAGTATTGTGTTAAAGCCATCGCCAAACTGTGTCTCGATTTGATTGCAAAAGAACCGACCGTCCAATTCTTGTAAGACAATGTACGTGAACATTGCTAACTCGATTGCTGTGATGACGAAAAGCTGTATTCGCCTAGGTACTAGACCTCCTGTTCCACGAAATAAAGGTAAGTGAGAAAATGATTCCTTTGTAGGTAAGTCCTCTACATATAATAGATCTCGGTGCTTACCTTGGGGTCGAAGAATTATAACATCACTCACTTCGTCACATGCTGTCTTGATCGAATTTGTAAAGTATCCACGCTTGCCAAGTGCAAACGTCACATCGTCTACCGTAGTAATAAATTCCAAAGCTGCAAAGTTGAGAAACATGCCAACAACCGTGGTCGACTGAACAACCAAGGTAAAAATTGTAATATGAAACAGTGTGCCCATGATGAATTGAAGGGTATAGGCAAGGTAGAATTTCCTGCGCAGTCATCGCATTGTGAGTCGGTCCATTAGGCTATAGATGATAGGACAGTCAGTCAGTATGTTAGTCAACTTACCAACAAGTTGCACCAGGGGGAGTGGACATGAACTCCGCCGGACCTCGTTCCAAGCGGTTTAGTGCCTCCATAAAGTCCCAGAACTGGGACACCGACAAAATCAGAGCCATCACACCTATGATTCGAACCTGTAAGGATACGCTATTTGGAACCTGAAGTGGGTTCTTGTCATTACTAAAGACAATCAAGTCCAATATTGCCAGAAACGGCATTGCAATTTGGAATAAGCTCACAAGAATTCCCAACCAGAACGCTGATGAGCACACAGGAGCAGTGTAGATGAGACTAAAGACATTCTCAGTCATATGGTCTTCTATCATTCCGCGATGTGATCCTCGGTAAACCATCTTTCCTTCGTCATCATCCATAACAGCAGCTTCAGCAGGTACAGTTTTGGTCACCTCTGGACCCCAATCGTCTCCATTGTGTTCAGCTATAACGTCCCGATTGCTGTTATTGTGACGTCTCCTTATGTGTTGCCCGTCTCGATCTCTCGTTTGCTGAAAATTATCATTGTTATTCTCTTCTTCATCATATACATTGTCTGGTGACGATTCCTTATCCTCTTCCTTTCCTTCCTGCATCATACTGTCTTACTTATTATGGGAAAACGCGATGAATGAAAAAGATTATAATATGTATCGCATGCAAGATGATAAGCTGAGATATTTTCCTTTGCAGAATATAAACTTCTCTGAATATTCAATACGTGTATGTGCAACCCTCCGTTTTGGAACGCTTGAGGAAATAATCATGCCAGCGCGCGGAACACGAAAAAGCACGCAAGATATTCCGCGCATAATATATGCTGTTGAAGTCGAATCAATCAATCGGGATATATAAAATAATGTCGGCGCATGCATTGTCAAAATTGATTGCTCAAAAGTGAGTGGCAGTTGAAACTTATTCAGTCAATTTTTTAAAAAATATATCAGATCCGAGCTATACTTGCAGCATTCACTTCCGTACAATCAGAGCTTGATAGCGGATCAAATTGGAAAAGAAATTGTAGTGTCGTTGTTTATTATCAAAAAGGCATCGTTCGTATCTTTACTCTGTTGGGAAAATGAAAGCGGAGATTTACGACTATATGAGTTTGTGATCCAGAGGATCCTATACTTTCAAAATGAAAGACTGTACGAACTTAATTTATGAAGTGCACTAAATTGCACCAAAACACTATCGTAACCCCGACCCTTCCTCTTTTCTTCTAAATTATTATCTAGAGCCAAAAGTTGCGAGACGATTATAGAGGGGCATCGTCGTCGAAACCACCGCCATCGTCTCCGAAAGTGTTTGGATCATCATCTGTTGGAGTGCCATCATCGGTTGGGAAGTTTGGATCATCTGTTGGAGTGCCATCATCGGTTGGGAAGTTTGGATCATCTGTTGGAGTGCCATCATCGGTTGGGAAGTTTGGATCATCAGGGTTGCCATCATCGGTTGGGAAGTTTGGATCATCAGGGTTGCCATCATCGGTTGGGAAGTTTGGATCATCAGGGTTGCCATCATCGGTTGGGAAGTTTGGATCATCAGGGTTGCCATCATCTGTTGGAGTGTTCGGATCATCATCCGTTGGAGCATTTGGATCGTCATCTGTTGGGTTGTTTGGTGGATCACCACCCGCCCCATCTGGTGTACCATTTGGAACAGCTGGATCACCGCCATCAGGTGTAGCTGGGTCGTCATCCCCGAAATTGGGATCGTCGTTAAATGGGTCATCGTCACCAAAGTTGCCGTTGCCGCGAAATGGGTCATCGTCCCCGCCGCCAAAAAAGAAGTCATCGTCTCCAAAATTGTCATCATCCCACGGATTGAAATCAATTGCGCACGCTTCATTTTCACTATTACCCTGTTCAGTGCAGTCAAGTTCGCATAGGGTGCCGCCATATACAACGTCGCCTAGAAAATCACCCATGAAGTCATCACCAAAATCATTTCTCAACGGACAATCACAGGTTCGGTTATTTGGCAAGCACGTCCCTCCGTTTAGGCATGGAGAAGATGCAGAGCACCTGGAGCAAATCAAAACTGTTTCGATCCCTGTTCCTCTCAGAAAGAGATCAAAGTAGTTCTTTTTCGACAGTGTGACACGATTCGTCCGTTGCCAAGAAAGACCAAGAGGGGAGAGACTGTCGCTCTGTGTACCAACGTCAATTGGATCGCTAACAAACACTGGTACCCTATAGATTTCTTGGTCTGCCGTTTGATTGACTATCTTGCCTTCTGCATACAGAGGCTTGATCCCTTCGTGTTCAGGGGTTCGAAAAATGATGTAAGCAAATGTCGATATGAACCAAAAGCCAAACGAACCAAAAGGCAAACTTACAGTTGTACCAAGGATGAAAATTTGTGAAATTTTCGACAAGGACTGAAGTATTGATAATGGGAAATTGATTTCCGCCTTCATCTGGTTCAGTAAGTGCTTGAACAGCACCTGCAATGTTGACTGCGAAGATATCAAAGAGAAAGTACCTTCTTCCAAAATTGATTCTTCATATATCAATACCGATTGGTTTTGTTCATCAATAATTAGCACAAATTCCCAATCTGAAAGTGTATTTGAGCAACTCAACGAAATGGCAACTTACAGAAAATCAACAAAACCATCTTGATGAACAAAAGTATACACCGGCCTGTTGTATGAATAAAATGCCGAACCATCTGGTTTCGTCAATAAGTCAAACCTTGAGCTGTAGAAATCGCCAACACCAGTGAATGGTTTTGTTCGGCGATCGTAATCGGTCTTCTTGCAAGGTGGCTGGTTAAACTGACAATTAATGCCGAATTGTTCTGGTCCACAGACGCATACATCGTTGACACACTGCCCATTGCACGTCTCATCTTCGCAATCGGCACATCGCAACTGGAAGAAATCCACCTGATATTGAACCGAGTCACCCAACTGGCGCTTCGTCAGCCATTCGCGTCCTGGCGCTTCCAAAAGGTCATACGCCTTCGTGTCAGGAGATCTAGAGATAAAATTTTCACACATGTCTTCGACACTCTTGACATCGTCTAGGATGATGTTGAATACCCAGTACCCGGTATTCGCAAATGAAAAGATCCCAGTACTATCACCCTTTGTGCAGTATCGAAACGCTGCACCTCGACGATCATCCCAATAGACAGGCCGCCCCTCGGCTTTGTCTTTTCGATTGAAAGTGTACATTCCCGAAAAGATTGGCAAGATTGTAACTGAGGACGAAACCAAAAAATAAAGTGCAATCGTTGGCGTTAGACGTTCGTTCCATGCAGTCATATCATACTCCAATATTACACTCACTGAATCCATCACCAAACTGAACTTCAATCTTCTCGCAATCAAATCTTCCGGATTGTTGCTGAAGAGAAAGCACGGTGTACATGGACAACATGACAACACCAAAAAACAAAACCTGAATTCGGCGACACACCCGGCCGCCCTTTCGCCTCAATATCTTGATTTCATTGACATGATCGCAGGCTCTCTTGACAGGATTGCTCACATAGCCTCGCTGGGCAAATAGAAATGCGAATTCATCGACTGATGTAATGAATTCGAGGGCAGCAAAGTTCAGGAAAATGTCTAGAATGGTAGTCGATTGCATAATGAAAACAAAAACAGAAACCTGAAATAACGCTCCCATGACCATCTGAATTGTGTAGGACAAGTAAAACTTCCTGAAATTGGTAGAAAGATTGTACAAGGATGGGCATAGGTGTGAGTCGTCAAGGTCCATGTACAAAGACAGACAAGAATCCACACAGTTTCGGATAGGAATAAAAAACATACCAGCACTTGGCACCAGGAGGAGTTTCAGACCGGGAGGGCGGTGGCCCCTTTTGGAGCTTTTCCACTGCTTCCATGAGATCCCAGAACTGCACCACTGCCAATACGAGCACCATTGCTGCTAGAACACGGACTTGGATAGAAACGTTGTTCGGAAGTTGAAGATAATTCCCTTCTTCATCGTTCAGAATAATCAAATCCAATAGAGCCAAGAAAGGCAAGGCCAGCTGAAAGAGGGACACAATAAGAGCAAACCAGAATGCTCCAGTGTTGACAGGGGCAATATACATCAGACTGAAGATGTTCTCCTGCATCGTCTCCTCAGTAAAAGCAGGATCATCTTTCAGCAATTTTTTGGTTTCAGACGGATCAAAGTCGAGTGCTTCCACATCTTCCATCCTTACATCTGATGTTGCCACAACAGCAGTACCACCGAGAGCCGATGGAGGAGAATCTTTGGTAGATTCCGTTCCTCTGGAACGTCCTCCTCTGCTACTCTTGTGGCGTCGGTGATGATCCCGACTGCTGCTTCTATGTCTGCTACTGCTGCTTTGGTCTCGACTTCCATCTCGACGGCTTCGGTGCTTCCTTCTCCTTCGCACTTTCAATTCATCATTTTCATCAGACATGGTTGTGGCAAGCTAAGCTTGTGGGTGACTGAATACTATTGTTGTTGAAGCTCAAATCAAATCCCTTCGGTGTTTGGCACTTGCTGAAGCTATGATTTCGATCGCCATATGCCACTTACTCGCTGGAACTCGTACCATATCCACGAAAAAAAGTCATGCAGTTTTTCTGGTCATAATTAATAGCCCATCGAATTTATTTCTCCTAGGAAAATCGTGAAATCAGACGCCGGCATGCCTCCCTATTTAACGATTTTGGTCTCCGGTCGACGAACTTTGTTAAAACCCCATGTCCACATCCTTGAAGAAATCGCTTTTGCACGATTCATGATTTTTTGGAACCTGCGTGCGCGCGGAAAAGCTGCTGTACGTGTACTGTGAGCATTACTGCGGTAACGTGAAAAGAGAAACGTCTGTTGCCTCATCGTCTGATCAATATTCAATATTGGTACGAACCGGTACGTGTATCAGCACCTTGCCAGCACAGTACCGGTACGAATATCGATACATACTGTATGATATTATATATTGTTCATGCATCAATATATAATCGACGTCTGGCATACAGATGCACTACTTGATTGAAATGATTATTGATGGTGAAGTCACGTTTACCGTTTACATACCGATATGGTTTAACCCGATGGCATCATCTCATACCATTTATTTCCTGTTGGATTATTTCCGAGTTCGATCCTTTTATATTACATTGCGAAGAGTTCAAGAAGTCCAATCTGTCAGCTACGAAATCCAATTTGAAACGATGAATGTATAGGAATCTACCGGTACGGACCCCAGAAGAAGAGAAGTTGAAATCGGGTTCTTCGGCAACCTGTATCATGATACATATGGAATGCATTCGGAGCTGCGATTGGGGAGTTTTCTATATCTCAAACATTCATTCATTCCACAATCAACCAATGTTGGACAAGCTGTTTCTGTCGATTGATTGGCGCATTGCACTTCACAGTTTTCACCTATGCGGTGACACGCTCCGCTATATCTACAATATGTCGGTGCCTTGTTGGATTGCGTAGAGGTTTTCGAGTTTTCATCTTTGCTAGAGTCGGTTTGACATCTTTCGGCAGGTCGTCATGGCCGCCATGGTGGGGGACAGCCACTCAACACTGCACCAGCCTGTCGCTCGAGCAGTCTTTGACTTGGTCATAGATTGATTCGGCGTAAATCAAGCATACAGTGGTGCTATATGGCCTTACTGGGGTCGAGAAACACATGTACGCATATATTAAAAGTTCTCTATTTTAAAATTCACATTTGTCGTTCATGGATGAATTGTCTAATGGAGACTTTCTAGGCGCAAGCAATTGGACCACACTTACCTGACTTGGGTGGCCAATTCCGCATTGTCCAGAACCTACTTGCCCAATGGCTGCAAGCAACGGCACCGCAGAATACAGCAGGGTCAGACCTTCATACAAGTTGCGAATATAATTTGCGATGGTTGGAGTGCTACTGTAGAGAAGTGATATTCGGCAACTGTTTTTCTGGAACATTTTAAGAGAGTAATAACACGAGTTGTATACTCGTAGTACCATACGAGATGACGTCCATACTGTACTGTACCTTTTGGGTTTTTGCTGCGTGGTCGAAGAAGTCAAAGTAAGGTACATCAGACAGATTAGATGAAGAATACGAGTACAAACCTCCACGACTACAGAATCAATTATTGCCCGAGTACTGCTATGGGTCACATATGTCCATTTACCACACACTTAAGATCTTTCAAACCGCGGGAACTGTGGACTCAATCAGTCACTCCATCGAAGAAAGAGGGGGGAGATACCATCCACTAAAGGGAGAATGACAAAACAATTATAATAGTTTACAGGAAATATTGTTACTATTCATTTTCGGGAGTGAGCAATTCTCCTATCCTGTCATATGTTCACTTGAGAATTCCTGCGAACGGAAGTATACGATATTTTAGCATCTATGCGTATAAAAAGACACTTGTGCCGCTCAGAGATACATTCGCGTCTCTGTGCGTCTCGCTCTTATAATCGCTGAGGCTCGAACAACCCTCCGAAAGTCGCTGTTTGAGTTCATTCCTAGCGAATTCATATATGTTGACAACACACAAAAGATAATGGACGTATTCTGCACTCAGAGCGGCATCGAAACTACAAACCAGTTCTTCCCTCCATTATTTTTTCCCCGCTAGTACCAAAAATCACATTTTCTGCCGATCTGATGAACCCACCCTTTCCGAACCACCAGTCCAAAGCTGCTCCATGGACAACCGACTCCATCAACGCTTCGGCCATATGCAGGTTTCATTTATCAGTTTCCATGTAGATTGCATCAGATGTTGGAAACAGTGGAAAAGGAAGGCAACACGTCCATCATTTCATGGCTGCCGGGGCACCCACAAGATGCGTTCAAAGTCCACAAGAAAGAAGAATTCATGGAGCATGTGTTGCCGCGCTTCTTCGATCAGACCAAGTTCAAGTCGTTTCTACGACAACTGAACGTATGGGGATTTGAACGAATAAACGATTCAGGTCCAAGACACGGAGGCTACCGCCATTCATTATTCATCAAGAATCGGCCCGACTTATGTGCTGGAATGAAGAGAACGAAGATAAAGGGAGCGAAACAAGGAGATTCAGCCATGGGCTCGCAACAGCAGCTGTCGGAAACGGAGCTACAGCAAAATATCAATGCAATACTTTATCACAGTGCTGATGGTGATCATCAATGTGGAGGACAAAAGCGAGGCGGGACCAAAAGGAACGACGAAACGTCCTTCGATACCATTGAATATGAAAGGATACCAGACAATATTCCTGTTGCCGCGGAACTATCTCGCATGTATGCAGAAGAGATGAAAGAGACAGACGGTTTCTGATTATGAATCAGAGGATGATCCCCCAACTATCGGCTATGTTGCAAAAACAGGATCGTATGGTGCTGTGTGATAAGGTTCTTGAGTGTTTGGTTTTTTGGATGGTCAAGACGAAAAGAGAGTATGACTAAAACGGTGGTACTATATGCTTCACTAAAAGACTATCGAGGTCCCATATGTCCCTAAACCCCATACCACACACTTAAGACCTTTCAAACCACGGGAACTCGAGGACTGCATCAGATGAAAAGGACGGAGATAACACCATTGATTACAGAAATTATTATTGACAATAATAGAAGTTGTTCTCGGGATCGCGCCATTCTCTCATGCTGTCCCCATGTCTTTTCGTCGAAACCTTTTATATATTACAGTATCATTCGTGCCGCTCAACGATACAGGTGCGTCTCTGTGCGTCGCTTCTTCTTCATTTACCTCCGGAAGAGATTTTGAGTCGCTGTTTGAGTTCTTTCAGACCGAATCTTTATATATGTTGACAAAACGCATGATTATAAGGACGCATTCTCCAGTCAAAGCGGCATCGAAAATAACGAGAAGCATTTCTTCACTCCACTTTTTTCGTCCTCTCCAACAATCACATTTTCTGCCCAAATCATGAATGCACCCTTTCCGAGCCACCAGTCCAAAGCTACTCCTTGGACAACTGATTCCATCTACGACGGAACTCAAAGCAATTCACCAACGCTTCCAGTTCGATATGGAGATTTCATTTATCAGTTTCCATGTAGATTGCATCAGATGTTGGAGACAGTGGAAAAGGAAGGCAACACGTCCATCATATCGTGGCTGCCAGGGCACCCGCAAGATACATTCAAAGTCCACAGAAAAGAAGAGTTCACGGAGCATGTGCTGCCGCGCTTCTTCGATCAGACCAAGCTCAAGTCGTTTCTACGACAACTGAACGTATGGGGATTTGAACGAGTACTGGATTCAGGTCCAAGACACGGAGGCTACCGCCATTCATTATTCGTCAAGAATCGGCCCGACTTATGTGCTGGAATGAGAAGAACGAAGATAAAGGGTAGGAAGCAAGGAGATCCAGCAGTGGGCTCGCAACAGCAGCTACCGGAAATGGAACCACAGCAAAATGAATTACTATCTCATCCCATCTTCGGTGATCATCGTCAATATCATGGAGGACAACAGGAGCGAGGCGGAACAAAAATGAACGATATCCAAGACGAAACCTCCTTCGATACCATTGAATATGAAAGGATACCAGACAATATTCCTGTTGCCGCGGACCTATCTCGCATGTATACAGAGGAAATGAAAAATACTATTTCTGATGACGAACACCCACTCCCCGCCCGCTACTTTTTTTAAGACACCAGCTACCACATAGAATGATGATAGAAGATGTACCATGGTAAAGATATAGAAAAATGGATAGTCTACGATATCGACGTCATTTCACTGCTGTAGTGGGTTGGTTTGCATAGTGAGCCTAATACCGCTTTGAAATGCTTTTCTATGATTGTTGGTCGTCAAGTGAATGATCGAATCTAAACAGCGTGATTGATTCCGGCTGCGTTGTACTTCAGAACATAATTGTAAAAGTTTTGGTGAGATTCCTACGAATTCCAGTGTTACGTCAGTATCACTGCTTATTTCCGTCCCACTCGCTTTTCTAAACAAGTGCGATCTGAAATGTTGACGTCAGTGTCACTGCTTTTTTGGCGTGTTGGCCCCAAACGCTTTGAAATGCTTTTCTATGATTGTTGGTCGTGAAGTGAATGAACCTTTAAACAGCGTGATTCCGGCAGTTTTACTTCAGAACAGCTATTGCAAAAGTTTTTGTGAGCTGTATCAATGGTTATTCTAAACAAGTACCAGGTGGTACGATCTGAAATGTTGACGTCAGTGTCAATCCTATTTTTTGGCGTGTTGTTCCCAGTCCTTCTCGGATGATCTGGAATGATTTCGATTTCATTGAAACGCTGTCTTGGATATTTGGACACTTACCACACACTTAAGACCTTTCAAACCGCGGGAACTCGTGGATCACCAGAGCAGACCGAAATATTGGTTTGAGTCATTTTTGGGAATGCACGGAAGAGATTTTGAGTCGCTGTTTGAGTTCTTTCAGACCGAATCTTTATATACCGGTACCTATGTTGACAACGCATGATTATAAGGACGTATTCTCCAGTCAAAGCGGCATCGAAAATAGACGCTAGTTCTTCGCTCCACTTTTTCGTCCTCTCCAACAATCACATTTTCTGCCCAAATCATGAATACACCCTTTCCGAGCCACCAGTCCAAAGCTACTCCTTGGACAACTGATTCCATCTACGACGGAACTCAAAGCAATTCACCAACGCTTCCAGTTCGATATGGAGATTTCATTTATCAGTTTCCATGTAGATTGCATCAGATGTTGGAGACAGTGGAAAAGGAAGGCAACACGTCCATCATATCGTGGCTGCCAGGGCACCCGCAAGATACATTCAAAGTCCACAGAAAAGAAGAGTTCACGGAGCATGTGCTGCCGCGCTTCTTCGATCAGACCAAGCTCAAGTCGTTTCTACGACAACTGAACGTATGGGGATTTGAACGAGTACTGGATTCAGGTCCAAGACACGGAGGCTACCGCCATTCATTATTCGTCAAGAATCGGCCCGACTTATGTGCTGGAATGAGAAGAACGAAGATAAAGGGTAGGAAGCAAGGAGATCCAGCAGTGGGCTCGCAACAGCAGCTACCGGAAATGGAACCACAGCAAAATGAATTACTATCTCATCCCATCTTCGGTGATCATCGTCAATATCATGGAGGACAACAGGAGCGAGGCGGAACAAAAATGAACGATATCCAAGACGAAACCTCCTTCGATACCATTGAATATGAAAGGATACCAGACAATATTCCTGTTGCCGCGGACCTATCCCGCATGTATACAGAGGAAATGAAAAATACTATTTCTGATGACGAACACCCACTCCCCGCCCGCTACTTTTTTTAAGATACCGGCTATGAGGATGTAAAAACAGGATATAAATATCGAAAATGACGATAGAAGATGTAAACATAGGGAAAAATAGAACAAAGCTATGATATGCAATATATTATTGACGCCAGTTTCCCTGCTCTAGTTGTGTATTTTAGGTTGTAAGCGCTTATTTTTGCTGATTATTCGAGCCTATCCCGCACTGTTCGTTTTCTCTGTGGTAGTATTTTTTGGTCGTAAAATTTCAGATTGAATGAAAAACTAAGCAGTAAAATATGCGGTGCCGGCAGTTTTTTTAGTTTGGAAGCAAAACCAAGTTCGCGAGAAGATTCCGCCATATTATAGCGTCATCATCGGATCCCACGCACGCCGTTCAATTCGGGAATCTCCATGTGCTCCCGTTGTAGGTACCAGGTACCTCAACAGTCGTCGGCGTTCGTCTGCCAAAAGAGCGGTGCAAGAGAGTAGGAACTGTCGCTATTCTTACCACTATTGTTCGTACGATTCAAGTTATACGCAGCATTTTTTAATGTAGTACTGCAAAAGAGAAGCTTGATCTACACATCTCCTAGCTACAGTTATGGGGTCTCTCATGAACTATTAGTCTATTCGTACATGTTAATGTCTGCAGTTGTAGGCGACGGAGTGCTTGTGTTGGTAGCACCAGCAGCAGTATCAAGTGTAATCCACTATTATGGATCATAGCATGCGTCATCGTTTCATTCGAGGATACCGCCATGATCAACTCCAGAAGAAAGGACTAGAGGAGAAGTGAATCATCGAGAATGTCATCTCCGAAAACGGATGACGCAGGTTGACTCCAAGTGTCAGCATCATCTTCAACCAAAGCAGTCAGATTCTCCTGGTCCTCCAGCAGGTCTATGCCGTCCACCAAATCGAGAAGAGAATCGATTCCTTTCATCTCTTCTGAAAGAATTTTTTAGTTGTATGTTAGAGCACAAATTGCCATGAAAGGATATGGAGAATGTCAATCAGTAGTTAGACATACCTTTTTCCTTTCGAAGGAAATCGTCCATATGTTGTTGCACTTGGAGATCGAGTTCCTGGTCTTCTTTCAAGCAATCTTCCTTATACTGCTTACGAAACGAGGTTCCGAAGTCGCTCCACATGTTGTCAATGAATTCTTGATCCGAAAGTTCCGTAATATCGTCTTCCTCGTTCTCAAGTTGTTGGGAGAATAGTCGACCGGCTGGCAATTCGACATCATCAACGGTTTCAAAGACTACAGTCTTCTTCTTTCCCGAGTTGACTGCAGTGCTAGTCGCTCGTGGAAGCACCGCATTTTGAGAAGGCTTTTTGGTGACGCTCGTGGGAGCAAGATTACTCATGGATGCTGCTAGTGGTTTCCGAATATTAGACGATGTAGGTTGTTTGGATGTGGACTTGGGAAGCAAGGGTTTTTGCTGGAGGTTTGACCTAGGAGTGAAGGCTGCCTTTTTCAAGGCAACATTGTTTTGGTTTCCACCATTCGACTTTGATCCAGAAGCCAATGGCTTTTTGTTGGAAATATCACCAAAGGCTCGCCTCTTCATGCTGGCGCCAGGAGTTGAGAGTGATGCTGCCTGCTTGGTAGAGGCTGTAGTGTTCATGGCATTCTCATTGGACACAATCGGCCGAAAGGATACAGATGTATTTGAAGAGGATGGCATCACTGTGGATCGAGGCGCAAACATGGTTTTCAGGATACGAGAGAATTGTTGTTTTTGAAAGAAAACGGCGGGCCTGTGCCTGATGTGGACGAATGAATGCGGATTGATTGGTGGATGAAACTCAGTCTGAAGTTTATTGCTTCAGTGCTGTTTCAGTCTGCCCAAAGAATTTTCAGCGAACGTAATTGGTGGATGAATAGATGAGACTTTTTCTGTAATGGTCTTTTTGTCTTTTCCTCTTTGAAGGACGTCGTTGTTGCTGCGGTTTTATATTGCGGTCTGCGATATGCATGAGGATATGCATTCAATTGTCCATTATTTCATTTGAAAACTTTTTCGAGCGTTGGCTGGCTCGAATGAAAACAAACGGTGTTCGTATCCTCATATAAATATAACGGTAATACAACGCTTCGTGTTGGACCCGTTCGATCCAACTACAGTTGAAAAATTCAAAAGCATTTCTGATTGGAGTAGGTATTACCAGGTACCGTACGTGTAGTAGTAGGAAGATGCAAAACATACCCCCCGGCAGTACAAGTGTGAGAATGAATCTTCAATGAGCCACGTGGCAAGATTTGGTGTGTACCAAATGTCAAGCCATTTATGAAGTCAAGACCAAAGCAACTATGGAACACATCGATAGGGCCTTGTATTTCAACCGAATTTCTGGTGGATCCTTTCGAGCAGCATGTCGATTGGAAAACTCCAGGCCTTCAGATCAGAAACGATACCTTGTGTTGCTCCCAAGGAATGCTACCACCAACAAAAGCGGACAATTGGTGCATCCAGTCCAAGTGGGGGAAATCTCCACGATCCTTCCAGCCGCCTGTGACTCATCATTTAACGTAAATACACCAGGCATTGCTATAAGAAGCATTGTTTCGTTGAAGAAACAGAGTGTATCACTCAGTGATGGAAAGTTCAAAACAACGAGACACTGGTTCGACCTGCCGAAATCCGTTGTTGCCAGACCACTGAAGGAAATTGCAAGAGAAGTATTTTTGAAGCGCTTCTCCGAGGATGATCTGGAAAGGTTGGAGTCCAAGTATATACTCGATGTTACCATTGCGGGATCAGAAAAAAAGGAGGAGGCAGACACCATTATTGATGGCCATGATGAAGTTTTTGCCAACACAATAATCGAGTTGCCTCAGGTGGATGACTGGGAGGATCACTCTGAGGATGAGTGAGTCATTAATCATGTACGTTCAGTTGTCGTAGAAACGACTTGAGCTTGGTCTGATCGAAGAAGCGCGGCAGCACATGCTCCGTGAACTCTTCTTTTCTGTGGACTTTGAATGTATCTTGCGGGTGCCCTGGCAGCCACGATATGATGGACGTGTTGCCTTCCTTTTCCACTGTCTCCAACATCTGATGCAATCTACATGGAAACTGATAAATGAAATCTCCATATCGAACTGGAAGCGTTGGTGAATTGCTTTGAGTTCCGTCGTAGATGGAATCAGTTGTCCAAGGAGTAGCTTTGGACTGGTGGCTCGGAAAGGGTGCATTCATGATTTGGGCAGAAAATGTGATTGTTGGAGAGGACGAAAAAAGTGGAGTGAAGAAATGCTTCTCGTTATTTTCGATGCCGCTTTGACTGGAGAATGCGTCCTTATAATCATGCGTTTTGTCAACATATATAAAGATTCGGTCTGAAAGAACTCAAACAGCGACTCAAAATCTCTTCCGGAGGTAAATGAAGAAGAAGCGACGCACAGAGACGCACCTGTATCGTTGAGCGGCACGAATGATACTGTAATATATAAAAGGTTTCGACGAAAAGACATGGGGACAGCATGAGAGAATGGCGCGATCCCGAGAACAACTTCTATTATTGTCAATAATAATTTCTGTAATCAATGGTGTTATCTCCGTCCTTTTCATCTGATGCAGTCCTCGAGTTCCCGTGGTTTGAAAGGTCTTAAGTGTGTGGTATGGGGTTTAGGGACATATGGGACCTCGATAGTCTTTTAGTGAAGCATATAGTACCACCGTTTTAGTCATACTCTCTTTTCGTCTTGACCATCCAAAAAACCAAACACTCAAGAACCTTATCACACAGCACCATACGATCCTGTTTTTGCAACATAGCCGATAGTTGGGGGATCATCCTCTGATTCATAATCAGAAACCGTCTGTCTCTTTCATCTCTTCTGCATACATGCGAGATAGTTCCGCGGCAACAGGAATATTGTCTGGTATCCTTTCATATTCAATGGTATCGAAGGACGTTTCGTCGTTCCTTTTGGTCCCGCCTCGCTTTTGTCCTCCACATTGATGATCACCATCAGCACTGTGATAAAGTATTGCATTGATATTTTGCTGTAGCTCCGTTTCCGACAGCTGCTGTTGCGAGCCCATGGCTGAATCTCCTTGTTTCGCTCCCTTTATCTTCGTTCTCTTCATTCCAGCACATAAGTCGGGCCGATTCTTGATGAATAATGAATGGCGGTAGCCTCCGTGTCTTGGACCTGAATCGTTTATTCGTTCAAATCCCCATACGTTCAGTTGTCGTAGAAACGACTTGAACTTGGTCTGATCGAAGAAGCGCGGCAACACATGCTCCATGAATTCTTCTTTCTTGTGGACTTTGAACGCATCTTGTGGGTGCCCCGGCAGCCATGAAATGATGGACGTGTTGTCTTCCTTTTCCACTGTTTCCAACATCTGGTGCAATCTACATGGAAACTGATAAATGAAACCTGCATATGGCCGAAGCGTTGACGAACTGCTTTGAGCTTCCTCGTAGATGGAGTCGGTTGTCCATGGAGCAGCTTTGGACTGGTGGTTCGGAAAGGGTGGGTTCATCAGATCGGCAGAAAATGTGATTTTTGGAGGTAAGAACTGGTTTGTATTTTCGATGCCGCTCTGAGTGCAGAATACGTCCATTATCTTTTGTGTGTTGTCAACATATATGAATTCGCTAGGAATGAACTCAAACAGCGACTTTCGGAGGGTTGTTCGAGCCTCAGCGATTATATAGCAAATGAAGAAGAGCGAGGCGCACAGAGACGCGAATGTATCTCTGAGCGGCACAAGTGTCTTTTTATACGCATAGATGCTAAAATATCGTATACTTCCGTTCGCAGGAATTCTCAAGTGAACATATGACAGGATAGGAGAATTGCTCACTCCCGAAAATGAATAGTAACAATATTTCCTGTAAACTATTATAATTGTTTTGTCATTCTCCCTTTAGTGGATGGTATCTCCCCCCTCTTTCTTCGATGGAGTGACTGAGTGAGTCCATAGTTCCCGCGGTTTGAAAGATCTTAAGTGTGTGGTAAATGGACATATGGGACCCATAGCAGTACTCGGGCAATAATTGATTCTGTAGTCGTGGAGGTTTGTACTCGTATTCTTCATCTAATCTGTCTGATGTACCTGTGGTGTAGACGTGTAGACTTGTATAAGCTATAAGCTTAGTGCACTGTCTTTGATGCGTGTTGTTGTTAGGAAGTTATATTAATATCGGTATAATATGAACAATGCATTGCATGATGAGTATTATAATATATACTGTACAGTATGGTGTTGCAACCTCCCTACCGATACACGTGGAACGATATGATGATGCGTACGTGTACCTTCGACTCGTGATGTGGTCTGTACGTCGAGCGCACATATTCTTGCGATTTTTGTATTTTGATTTCTTATTTTTAACTGCGTTATTGACATTATATCCATCATATATATCACGCCCCGCATCGATTGGCAATGATGAATACAACAGTCAGGAGGAAAATAATATGTTTGCTATCTATAGCTCTGATGGCCATCACTGGGACCTCTGGATTTGTGATCCCAATGCGATCACACGCCTCAGCAGCAGCAGCAGCAGCATCATCAGCAACAGTAAATACGAGAACAAGTCAATTGTATTCCGAGATTACACCGAACGAAATCAAGCTGCAGCTTGAGAAATATCTGAAAAAGCGGGAAGTATTAAATGCGGATGAAATCGAAAAAGCGTAAGTCAACTACGACCAAAATGGATCATGCATGCCGTGTGTATATATAAACTCGTCTGTGACAGTTTTCCAACAGCAACATATATCTAAATATGTTTCTCCAACCTTCATATAGAGAACGAGGCAAAGTCCTGGGAGGTACCAAAGGCAACAAGGTATTGGATTTCATCAGTGGTGCGCCTTCCAAAGAATTTGTGATTGAAGATGTTCCCAACGTCTTTGACTATGATCAATTGACCAAGTATGGGTATTCCGTAAGTTATTGATGATGTTCTGAAGGAGCCATAAGTTGTATCCAACTGAATGAATCCATATGCTAACAACAAATTACAATCATAATAATAATAATAGAGTTTGGTAACTCCGATCATGGAACTCGGTGGTCGTCGAGCCGTTTACGACTTGATGGGAATGAAAGCGCCACCGACAAAAGGTCCTCCTCCTAAGGTGGTGACTCCCAAGATTGTGATTGATCGCACGGGAGCCGATGACGAGGGACGATACTCTGGACTTAAGATGGGTCTAGGTATGGACGATGATGCCATGGCAGAAGCATTGGCGAAGGCTAGCCAGAAATCCAAAGAAGGCAAAGGTTTGCGGAAAAGAATAATGGAAGAAACTTACGAACAACCATTCGCTGGTAAGACTCTGCAGAGCGGCGATTGCTTGAATACCGCCCATTCCGCCTGCCGATGTTTCATTCTCCTTCAAGGATGATGCTCATATCTTCCTTTTCATTTTTAAAAAACTCTCATGTAGACAAGAGAAATGTTGGACCGAGACAGACTCCTGACTGGACACCAGAAGCCATTGATGAACTCACGAAGAAACAAGGTCAAGCTCAGTCATGGGCTAGACGGTCACGAGCCAATCGAATGGTGACAGACGATGGTGAACTATTGGTGCTCAATTTTCCAATGACAGCCTATTGTCTCTTCACATCCTTTCTGTCTGCATTTGCCTATGGAAAGTCAACACCAACCTTCTTGAACATGGTCGGGATGTCGGACACCACCTTTTCTGATCTCTTGCAAGCGCCCGGTTTGATATTGATTCTCACATGCATTGGTTCCAGTTTTTACAGTGCTTCAGTTTTGGCGCCGCCACTAAACAGAAGTTCTCTAGTGTGGGCATTCAAGGGGCTTTGTGGTGGTCCGTTTGCAATCCTGGAACTTCGTGAGCTGGACCCTTTGATTTCAAGAGCCGAGTATGACAAGGAAAACAACAACACTGGCTTATAATCAATTTAAAAAAAGATACTTTACCTGGTAGTTTGGAATCCGTTGGAATTAGCGCTGTTTTCCATTTGGCTCGCGAAATTACGTATCATGAGGAAGATTTGCGGAGCGTCAAATGTTTCTCGACGTTGCGCGACCAAAAATGCGGGAAGAGCGTTTTGTCAGTGAGTGGGTCAACCAGAATATGCAATGAAACTGACGTCGATATAGTTGACCATCCTTTTATTCTATACATCTTTACTATAGTTACATGTTCTACCATCATTTTCGATATATTTATCTTGTTTTTACATCATCGCCGGTATCTTAAACTTGATAGTGGTTTAGGGGAGTAGGGGGAATCGTCTTCCGATTCGACTCCTGTCGAAGCAGCACCAGAAAGAATCGTATCTTTCATCTCCTCTGCATACATGCGGGATAGGTCTGCGGCAACAGGAATATTGTCTGGTATCCTTTCATATTCAATAGTATCGAATGATGGGTCGTCTTGGATATCGTTCGCTTTTGTCTTGACTCGCTGTTGGGCTCCGTCACGATGATCACCACTGATAGTACCATGAGATTGTTTTGATTCACGATGACGGTCCTCCCTTTCCTTTTGCTGCTGTTGGAAGTCCCCTGTATCCCCTTGTTTTGCACCCTTTATCTTTACTCGTTTCATATGAATACACCTATTAGGCCGATTCTTGATGAATAATGAATGGCGGTAGCTTCCACGCCTTGGACCTGATTCGAGTATTCGTTCAAATCCCCATAAGTTCAGTTGTCGAAGAAACGATTTGAACTTGGTCTGATTGAAGAAGCGCGGCAATACCTGCTGCATGAACTTATCTTTATCATGGACTTTGAAAGTATCTTGTGGGTCACCTGGCAGCCATGAAATGATGGAGGTTTTGCCTTCCTTTTCCACCGTTTCTAGCATCTGGTGCAATCTCCAAGGAAACTGATGTATGAAATCTCCACAGGGCGGAAGCGTTGGTGAGCTGCTTTGAGTTCTCTCGTGTATGGATTCAGGTGTCCCAGGAGCGACTTTGGACTGATGGTCCGGAGAGGGTTGATTCATCAGTTGGGTAGATAATGTGATTGCTGTTGGGAGCCAAAATTGGAGGGAAGAATGGCCATTATTGTTTTCAGTGACACGCCGGGTGTCCAATACGAAAATGTCCCGCTTCTGTGCTTCCAGCAGAATATGATCTTTAACTGACGTGTTTCCTCTGCACAAATATGCGTGATGAATGAAATTGCACACATTCTTAATGTTGAAACGTTGAAAAGGCGAATCATAAATAAGGAATTGGTATAAGAGTTTGCCACCGCGACTTCAAATCTCTTCCAGAGAGTTCAAAACCTTCGCGTTTAGTTCGCAAATGAAGAGAGACGCAGGTACCGGTGCTACAATGTTCTCATTGATCGGCAACATTCAAAAGACCTTTAAATTCACAGAAGGACAGACAACTCAGGAGAACCGCAATCGGAAAATTGAATGGAGCGCCTTCTTAACAATTCAAGATCATGATTTGGTGGGACCTTTCTGGTGTGTATTGCACTGGTGTGGGTAGATGAGTTCCCGCAACTGTGCTATTATAACTTTGAATGGTCGGAGAAGAACTTCAAATTGAATATGTGAACAAGTAAATATTAGACCGAGATAGACGAGACGCCACAAGCTGAAAGCCATTCATGAAGTCAAGAAAACGAGTTCATGGGCTGGACGGCGGTGAACTTTTGGTGCTCAACTAGCTTTAAGTCGTTTATTTCTTCCTCCTCTTTTGCCTATGGAAAGTCAGCACTAACCGTCTTGAACATGTGGGAATATTCGACATCGTTTCTTCTGGACTCTTGCAAGGAATCGGTTTTATACTGATATTGATACTAGCTAGCACACCACGGAATGGTTTCAGCATCCTCTTCAGCAGTAGTTCCTCGGTACTACATTTTCAGAGCCGCGACTAAACCGAATTTGCTTGGTCTGGGTATCAAAGGGACATGGTGGTGATCCGGTTGTTATCCTGCAGCGCGCTTGGCCGTTTGATGGCAAGAGCTGAAGGGTAATAACCCTACCTGTCTGGAACGTCTGGAATTGTATACATGGCACTTCTCGACATTTCTCACAATTATTCGGTTTGCTCGGAAATACCGGTACCTAGGTACCGGCACGAGGTACCAGGTGTAACCTGTGTCGAACTGCCGGAAGCACCAGTTTCCATGCCTTGGGGCGACCAAAAGCCATGACACTAACGTCGAGAACGATGTTACAGATCATCATTGTATTGTACGGGCCGTTATCACTATCGTTACATATTCTATCATCATTTTTTCACATTATAGCCGGTCTCTTCAAGTTGGTAGTCGGTTGGGGGAGTATGGGACTATGTTCCTCCGCTTCAGCGGGAGGAAGAAGCAGAACAGACATCTCATCATACATGCGGGATAGGTCTGCGGCAACAGGAACATGATCTGGTATCTTTTCGTATTCAATGGTATCGAATGAAGTCTCTTCGTCATTCAGAAAATTCGTTTTGTTCCGGGTTAGACGCTGTCCTCCAGCGTCATCACTGCGGTGTGATATTGCCTCACGATGATGTTGCTCCCCTTCCGTCTGCTGCTGTTGGGAGTCCCCTGTATCCCCTTGTTTTGCACCCTTTATCTTCGTTCTCTTCATTTTAGTACATAAAAAGGGCTGATTCTTGATGAATAATGAATGGCGGTAACCTCCACGCCTTGGACCTGATTCGAGTATTCGTTCAAATCCCCATAAGTTCAGTTGTCGAAGAAACGATTTGAACTTGGTCTGATTGAAGAAGCGCGGCAATACCTGCTGCATGAACTTATCTTTATCATGGACTTTGAAAGTATCTTGTGGGTCACCTGGCAGCCATGAAATGATGGAGGTTTTGCCTTCCTTTTCCACCGTTTCTAGCATCTGGTGCAATCTCCAAGGAAACTGATGGATGTGATCTCCAGCAGATTGTGACGATTGTGTACTGCTTGGAATCCATCCACTACATGGTGGAAGCGGTGGTGAGCTCCTTGGTGTTCTTTCGTGGATGGACTCATTTCTAACAGGAACGACGTTTGATTGGCTGTCCGGAGAGGGTAGATTAATGAGTTTTGCGGTTTGCTTTATTTTTGAAGTCAAAGAGTAAATGATATGGTGCTTCAGCGTCATACTGAATGCGAAAATATCGTACCAGTTTCTGGCTTCCCAGAGAATACGTCCTAAAACTAACGGATAAACTAAACATTTACATGCGCTTTTGCAATCATTCGTTGGCTCTTGGTGGGGTCGTGAAAAAGGCGGATAGAATCAAATGGTATTCTTTAGAGTTCGAAACCTTCGCGCATAGATATGAAAGACGTGAACAAAGCGACCAATAGCTCCGAACTGGAAACCAGAGGCCATTGATCATAAACTCATGGAATAACGAAACGACGCCCCGCTATGGGCTAGATGGCAACGGGCCACTCTAATGATGGCAAAGGATGGTGAATTTTCTTTGTGCTTTTCGAAACTAGCCTACTGAGGACTCACATCGTTTCGTTCTGCCATTGGCTGCCGTGGGAAGTCGACACCTCGCTATCTGGACTCTTACAGGCAATTTGCCGCTGAACCGAAGTTCTTAACGAAGTGCGCTTTTGGCATTCCGTTTGCCATCCTGCCTTGCGAGCTGGGCCCTTGGATTGCGAGAGCCCAAACTGACAAGGAAAACAATAATTTTACATCTGCTGTTTGATACTGCGGGATTTTCACACTTGGCGTACAGTAAGGAGAATTTTGTACTGAATGAGCGCAAGTTTCGGATAATCTTCCTGCGACCCAAAATGCTTGAAGAGCGTTTCTGCCCTGAAATAGCGTGCCGACCAAAACAAAACTTGAGACTATCGTCGATTTTGTGGAGTACTGGTAGCTCATACTTGTGTTAAAATATTTCTCTCTATCGTTACATATTCTATCATCATTTCTACATCTAGTTGCTTATTTTTCACAGCATGGCCATTTTGATTAAATTTGGTAGTCCTTTCGGGTAGTAAATTGGGAATGGCGACGATGACGGTCTTCAGCTGATGTCGCAGGAGAAAGAAACTTCTCCTTCATCTCTTCTGCATACATGCGGGATAGGTCCGCGGCAACAGGAATATTATCTGGTATCTTTTCATATTCAATGGTATCGAAGGACGTTTCGTCGTGAGTATCATTGGTTCTGCTCCGGGCTCGATCATGCTGCCACTGTCCTCCGGCATCATCATGCTTCTGATGATCGCTGGGATACAATGCTGCATCATGTTGTACCATTTTCGCCAGCTGCTGTTGTGAGTACCCCGACTTTATTTTTACTCGTTTCATGTGAATACACAGGTCAGGCCGATTCTTAATGAATAATGAGTGGCGGTAGCCACCATACCTGTCACCTGATTTGAGTATTCGTTCAAACCCCCATAGGTTCAGTTGTCGCAAAAACGATTTGAACTTGGTCTGATTAAAGAAGCGCGGCATTACCTGCTCTGTGAAGATGTCTTTATCGTGGACCTTGAATGTATCCTGGGGGTGCCCTGGAAGCCACGAAATGATGGACGCATTCCCTTCCTTTTCCACTGTGTCCAACATCTGATGTAATCTCCAAGGGAACTGATTGGTGATATCTCCTGCAGATGCCGAATGTTGCGGTGGATTACTTGGAGCTTTCTCGTTGACAGAATCATTTACTTCAGGGGCGACAGTTGACTTTTGGTCCGGAGCGGGTTGATTCATCGCAATGGTGCAGACAATGAATTTTTTGAAAGGAGCACAAAAGGTGGACGGAAAAATGTGACGATTTTCTGAACTGCCGATCCTTGTCACCAGAACGTGTACAGTGGTACTTGCCCAACCACGGCCAAAATATGACATAAGTGCTAAAATATGACTTAGGGAACTGCGAAGACATCCCCTAGTCGTTTTGCCGGAAGATACATTTTAGGCCCTTGGCCTTGCGGGGTAGTTAAACAGTTGAACTTCTGATCATGTGAAAGTGCGCATTGATGAAGCAAGTGCGACTACTTTTATTAATTGGGCGCGTACAGTGTTTCTCTTCTGCCTTGTTCCAATCCGCCTCTGGACACAAAACGCTTGCTTAAGAGAATCGAGAAATCAATAATTTCCGATGAGCCTCACAGATTTCCTTAACCGGTTCAAGTTTGAATTTTTAATTTTATTGTAATATTATACTCGTACCTATATAAAAAGGAGGGTCGTGTCCTCAATCGTATGACTCCCATTGAACATCTCGGGGACTAGAATTCGCACTGATGTAGCTACTGGAGGCACGTCGATCGTAGAGTAATTTGACACGTGACTTGGAAAGGTAGTGGCGCGGTCAAGATCAATAACTTCAAGTAGAGTAGCAAAAAAGCTTTTATATTTTATGCAACAAAGTTCTTTTCTAGGACCACGGAGTAGTCTCCCTTGATGATTCATTTCTATTGATATCTCAGAATTTGTAGCTGTCGAACTATAATCCTTGTCATCTACCGGTAAATTGCGAGCTGAATATAAGTCTCTGGCGCCAACAACGGTTGTCTATTCGATGATTCCGTAATCATTTGATCCATGAGGTGTATCCTCAAATCGTCCTCCCCTCTTCAATTGAATCACTTCTGTAAATCCGTTGAGAACCGTGCTCATTCGGTAGTTGATTGAATCCTCTTGCTCGTCTTTCGATGACATAAGACGAAAATGTGCACAATCGCTGCAGCAAACATCCAATGGTCTTTCGCACTCCATTTTCGACCCAATTGTTGTGACGAATCCAGAAAAATTGCCACCATGTTCGTCAAGCTGGCATGGGGATATAAGAAGCTCCAATACCATAGTTGTCATCAAGTGCTCCCGGATGATGCAATCGAGTCGCAGTCGTATACTGCCTACGAAAAGGTCATGCAGACAGTTTTGAAGCGTCCAAAGGACCATCTCCTTGAAAACATTTGCAGAGGGAGGGTGGTCCTCCAGGTTGCCCACTAAGCCACTTTGTTTGCTTCCTTTCTGATGGTATGAGCAGAGCTAACCTTGGTGTAGCTCGCGTATCCCAACTGCCAAAGTTCGTTTTCTTGTGCTTTGAGGATCTTGAGAAGGACTAGCCCATCCACGAAACGGTTGTAAGAGTAGTTCAATGGAGACAGAAGCCCATAAGTAAAGTGAAAGGGCCACAATTGGACATGCTTCTGGTCGTTGGGGGTTATTTGCATGTAGACGTCTTGCACGACGTTTCTTGCTGTCTCCCTTTGTATCCTTTGGCGGACACAATTTGATCTCCAAATGATCACCATATCATTGTATCAATTTCAATAGAAAGCGGCACTATGTCGACTTTGAACATTGAGTTCCATGTGAGGATCAAGAAACAGTGGCAAAAGATATCGGCGTCGTGGCATGAATTTCTCCAGTAGTAACCAATGACATCATTCCACTTACAACTCGTGCGCTATTGCTTTGTTTCTCGTCACGACCGTATCTTTTCCAACTTATGGTGAACTCGGACGGGCATGTTGTTGATACTTGCTGCTTGACGCTACTTTGAAACTAAATTGACGACAGGATTTCAGGATACATTTTTGCGGTCGTAATCTCGGTCCAAAAAAATCGCAAAAAGGTTCGGACAATTGGAATGTTTCGTTGGTACGAAATCGTGCCACCAAAAAGAGTTTCCGCCATGAAATAGCGTGCCGACAAAACGAAAGGATGCCAATAAGACTCTCGTCAATATTGTAGGGTATATAGATCGTATATAGATCATCCTTGTGTTAAAATATTTCCTTCTATCGTTACATATTCTATTATCACTTTCAATATCTAGTTGTGCTTTTTCACAGCATAGCGAGTAGATTAAATTTGGTAGTCCTTCCGGGTAGTAAATTGGGAATGGCGACGATGACGGTCTTCAGCTGATGTCGCAGGAGAAAGAAACTTCTCCTTCATCTCTTCTGCATACATGCGGGATAGGTCCGCGGCAACAGGAATATTATCTGGTATCTTTTCATATTCAATGGTATCGAAGGACGTTTCGTCGTGAGTATCATTGGTTCTGCTCCGGGCTCGATCATGCTGCCACTGTCCTCCGGCATCATCATGCTTCTGATGATCGCTGGGATACAATGCTGCATCATGTTGTACCATTTTCGCCAGCTGCTGTTGTGAGTACCCCGACTTTATTTTTACTCGTTTCATGTGAATACACAGGTCAGGCCGATTCTTAATGAATAATGAGTGGCGGTAGCCACCATACCTGTCACCTGATTTGAGTATTCGTTCAAACCCCCATAGGTTCAGTTGTCGCAAAAACGATTTGAACTTGGTCTGATTAAAGAAGCGCGGCATTACCTGCTCTGTGAAGATGTCTTTATCGTGGACCTTGAAAGTATCTTGGGGGTGCCCTGACAGCCACGAAATGATGGACGCATTGCCTTCCTTTTCCACTGTTTCCAACATCTGATGTAATCTCCAAGGGAACTGATTGGTGATATCTCCTGAAGATGCCGAATGTTGCGGTGGATTACTTGGAGCTTTCTCGTTGGCGGATTCGTTTGCCTCGGGGGTGACAGTGGACTTTTGGTCCGGAGGGGGCGGATTCATCGCGATGGTGCAGACAATGAATTTTTTTGAAAGGAGCCCAAAAGGTGGACGGAAAAATGTTGCCTGTATTGGCTCATACCCAATCAAGTTGTACCGACTCCCCGAGTAAAATATGATTTAACTGCTAAAATATGACTTAACGAATTGCGATTTTATCCCCTACCGTTAAGAAAAATGCATTTATGGCCCCTGGTGGCATTGCCGGGGATTTGAAAAGTTAAACTTCTGATCATATGAAAGTGCGCATTTTCGAACCTTTGAGGTGGCAGTTGCGACTCATCCTAATTGAAAATTGCTTCTTGCGTGCTCCATTGCGCCGGCGGACACCAAACCTATGGCTCAAGAGAATCTAGACATCAATAATTCTCAATCAGCCAGACATATTCCCTAAATGATGATTCACCGGTGTACTGGCACCTAATCGATCGATCATAAATGTTCAATCAGAAATGTAAAATTGAGTCAGTGAATTTTAGTTTATTTAATAAAAAAGGAGCGTTGTGATCTTCATTGACTCCTCTCGAACATCTGGGACAAGAAATCTCACCTGACGTATACCGGTAGGTACACATGTAGAATAATTTGACAAGTGACTTGTTGAAAGGTAGTAGCTTTTTCTGATGTGGCAAAGGTCATAATCAATAAAACTTCAAGTAAAAGTCGCAAGAAAGCTCCTAATAAGGTACAGTAAGGGTACCCTTTTAAGAGAGTATTGTGCGATAGCGCAAAATGTCTCTTAAGGCGGTTCCCCTCTTATTAAAGGGGCGCCTGGGGGCGAAGCCCCCAGTATATTGGGGGTCTGGGGGCAGCCCAGCGGGTCAAGGGCGGAGCCTTGTGGGGGGTATCTAGGGGGGCAGAGCCCCCTTGGAGAAGAAAATTTGCAGTTTCAGGTAACAATTGAACCAAGTTTGATAAGAAAATTACCGCAATCTTTAAGGTACATTTTAGATCTGGTGCTGCAGGCCGCTTTATACATTCAATGCTTCCTGAGCAGTTTTTCGAGTCTGCTGTTAGCATTGATCCAAAGGACGACACAACACCTCTTCCTCAGCGTCCGAATCATCTGAATCATTAGGGGAACCACCTGTTGGAGCAAGAATAGCCTCAACTGTGATATCTTTCTCGCCACTCTGCTGTAACAAATCCTTCTGCTGCATCTCCCTGGTTTGCAGACGAAGGACAGACATATGGGCATGAAATGTTACGGGTGACAGACGGACCGTGAAATTTGTGTCTCAGCAAAATTTGTCTCTTAAGGGGGTGTTTCTCTTAAAAAAAACCTCTTAACAGGGTACCCTTACTGTATAAGATAGTAGCCAAGAGCTCACGCACCGATGTAGGTCTTATCAATCAATCTTGGCTATTCTTCTTAATCTTCATCCTTGGAACACGGGAAAACAAATCATAGCTATCAGATGTTGCAGCATGATGCAACAAAGTCTTCTTTTCTACGACATAGTCTCCCTTGATGATTCCCACTGTGTTGTCTCGCAAATCTTGAGGAATCGTAGAATCAAGCAATGCCGAGACGAACCCTTGCTTTCTTCGAGGAGACGATTGAATGCTGTTTCGAGAAGGGTTCTCTTCATCTGCATCTTCTGTTGACGAACCATCGGAATAATCCTCGTCCTCACAAGATGTCGAAATATAATCCTCGTCATCTAGATTGCCAGCTGACTGCACAGTCTCCAGCGCCAGCAAAGGACGTCTCTCCAGTGATTCTGTGGCCATTTCATCCATTGGATGTATTCTCAAGTCGTCATCTCCCTCATCAATGGAATCACTTTTGTGAATCCTTTGAGAGACTTCGTACTCCGAAGAAGTATTGGTTGCTCCCGAATACCCACTCTTATTATCCCAATCCTTCCATCTTCGGCCCAATCGTTTGTTCCAATGCTCATTTGGTCGTTGATTCAATCCTCTTGCTCGCGCTTCGATCACAAGAGGGTCGTATTCTGATAGTGGAAAGACGAAAATGTGCACAATCGCTGCAGCAAACATTTCGACGCAAATAAGATAATCTTGCAATCCCTTTGCAACATCTTCCGCAGTCCATTCTTGACCCAATTGTTGCGACGAATCCAAAATATTGCCACCATGTTCATCAAATGCCAATGCCTCTTCTGCTGTCATTGGCATATTAGAAGTTCCCATGCCATTGTTGTCGTCAATTACTCCTGAATGATAGTGTGGAATCAAATCCATCTGATACAGAATAGCAATTCCCAACGACTGCCACCACGTGAAAAAGACAAGACTCTTGACTGCCAGGAATTTGCCGACGGGTCGAATGGGCGCCAGTTCATTCTTGGTGGCATAGTAAAAAATGATGAGACAGTACAGTGCCCAACATTGACTGGTGTTGGTCAGTAGACAAATATACAAGTATCCACCCTTGGGCGTAAAGTTCCCCTCCTTGTAGACATCGTAATGTTCCAAAATCATGACAAACGCCGTACAAAGAATTTTGAGCAAGACATATTGAAGGACTCCAAACTTGCATTGCACGAAAAAAGGAGAAGTCCAATGCACTCGTTTCAATGATGATTGTGTGGTGGAATTGCTCTTGACGGGAGTAGGTGCAGCAGATGATGATGGCGCCGCTGTTTCGTAGACTTTTCGCACCGGTTGCCCCATGAGCCACGGTTTGAGACACCATTGCATTCCCCATATGTGAGCACCTCTTGTGGGCGACTTGTCCTTCAACATGAGAATCAATTGTTCTTCTCCCCCCAGATTTTCAATCAAAAACTGAAAGAAACTGTACAGGACATAGGATTCATAAAAATCTCGAAGAGTCTCAATATAAATCGAATGATCCTTGTATCGCAGACATAGCCAAGATCCAATCGAATAAATTGGTACCATCCACAAGATACGCACAATGTAACATTGTTCTTCTGGCTTGTTGTAATTGGCCAAGTGAGAGGCAATTCCATAAATAGAAATGGGGAATCCCAACAATACAAAGGCACCGGCACTGAACCAAGCAATCAAATGCTTGTCAGTTCCATTGTTTCTCAATTCGTTGGAATACCAAATGACAGCGGCAGTACATGCCACCGTGGACGACCACAGCAAAATCTTGGCCAATAGTTTCATGAACGACAATGTGGATCGGACCACTCTTCGACTGTTGCAACACTTGTCGAAAATATTGCTGCCAGTGTTGGTACAAGTAGTGCCATTGGTGTTGTTGCTTGTACTTCCGGTGCCCTCCAAGCTTGAAACGGCGGCACCAGCAGCTTTGGATTCCCGCTTGCGATGCTTTTTGGATTTTCGTTTGCGCTGAAAGTGACCGCTGTCCGAATTGCTATTATTATTTTTATTATCTGAATTGTGGCTGGAACCCTTTCGTCTCACCATATTGACAGCAGTATTCGTGGATTCTTTATTCGCAGAAGGAATAAGGTCGTGCGGTGGCGTAGGCGCTGTATTGTTGGCGGACGGTGCGGCACTACTGGAAGCTGCGGCCGATGATACTGGGGGAGGAGTCATGGCTTCTGTAATGGGAGGGACGTTCGGAACAACCTTCCGTACACTTCTGGTAGAACTTCCTGTAGAACTGGGTTCCGGATTCAAGATTAAAACATCTCGAAAGTGACTGGGTGACATGTTTGTCGAATCCCAGGAGTCTCGGACCGCCATCTTTTCTTCTTTGGAACTTGGCGTTGACATGTTTTATTCTTCTAGCCTGCTATTATATATAACAATAAAAGAGTTTGTGGTGTTGTGAGTTCACTGGTGTAGTTGCTTATCGTCAGGATATGCCTGATAAGTACAGTACAGTATTCGTATGGTTCTTCCGCTGATTCTCCGATTGATGTTGAAGGTTCCAGCTTGTTATGTGATTCTTCAGCCTATGAGAAGAGAATGAAGGCCCGCACTATGAAGGTTGCTGCCTTGCCTGAGATATATATTTCTTGTTGCTTGCTCGTTCCTCTTGCGTTCTACTTCTTGGACAATGAATGACTTACTCGTTTTTTGCTATCTGAAGAGCAGAGTTGTGGTCATGTCTTAAAAGCGATACGTGTTGAATTGGATGTTGATGATGATGATGATGATTCGTGCTTATCATTACTGGATGAAGATGATTGATTCAAATCAAGATTATGTTTGATGAAGCGAAGCTTTCCGAATTCTGCATCTAGCTCGGTACTTTAGCTACGAAGAGTGGACGTAGACCAGTCCTGCGGGAGTCAGTACAATCGAATGAATCAAAATGAAGTTCACAAAATGCCCAATCTGTTGGTATTTATGAGTATTATACGATGTTACTCGGTTTTCCATGTGCTTGCTTGCTGTACCAATATGCGAATGCCATGCATCAAGCAGAGGTATTTTCGTGTGACTATTGTACACCATACACCATACACCATACACCATAGCCGATCCAAGACTCAATCGACTAGATATTGACTCGTGTGATTAACCATACCTGTACTCTTGGATTACAAGAAAAAACTCTAGAGGCATATATGAGGCCGATCTCGTATCATATACGACCTTGTTGCGATTACATTCTTGGATAAATTTCACTGCAATAATTGAATTATATATATTTGCTATTGCTGTGCCCACTCTGAGGTAGAGATATTTGGGTAGAATCGATCATATTCAACGCCACCTACAAAGTCAATTGAAAAGAAGTTGCTGCTTGGGAAGGGAGAAAAAAATTATTCTAGCCTAGAATCTCTTTTCCGCCACAACACTCCAAAGCACCGCCCAAAGTTAATGCCCATATATATTTGGGCCAATTTTGAATTTAGTGCCATCGTGTCAGGGTACCGACTCGGCGACTGGGAAAGATTCCGGCCAAATGCTTCATTGGACCTGGATTATGGTCCCCCAAAGCACTGTGACTGCTATTCAATCACTTTTACCTACAAAATTTCCACCCCAAAGCCACTGATCTTCTCATATATGCCCATGTGTTAAAACAGGTCATTTATAGGAAAATTTGGCCCACACCACTACCAGCCAAGTGGCTTTTTGGACAGGATTTCCATGATTTCTGACCCCATTTTGGCCTCACGATTCTTGATCTATAGCTAGGCCGAACCATTGCCTGGATCCAAGAAAATTTAAAGATCTGGTGTATTGTTGAACGGATGGCTGTCTCCAGGGCGGCCACGTCGACCTTCATGCGGAAAGACGAACCGACAGCACGAAACACTGGAATTCCAATATCTCAGCAAGTCTTCCAAAAAAACAACGACCGAATGGATTTCCGAGGAAGTAGGATCAGTGCGGAGCTTTCCAGCACATGTTACATATGAGGCCTTGGCCAACCCAACGGAACCAGTCCAACAAAAAATGGGTAGATTGTAGTGTAATTGAGGCAAAAAGAATTGTGAATCGCTGCTACATGTTATTGGGATATGACGAAATATGAAATTTTACGTTCCAAAAGAAACTATTCAAGTACAAGATTTTCGACACGTGCGATCGGACTTTGATCGTGCGTGATGTCGGGATTCGACGCAAGTATGCCAGACGCAAGTCTGTTGGACAATCTATATCCACACAAACAGGAAAAGATCCTGTACAAGTGGAATATTGATGTTGTGTACGATGCAGTAGGGAATAATGCAAGATATCCCAAAGTACTGCATTCAACACAGAATTGTCGTAGAAGTCGAATCG